GATAAAGGGCTAGTATCCAAAATCTATAAAGAACTTATCAAACTCAACACCCAAAGAACAAAGAATCCAATCAAGAAATGGGCAGAAGACATGAACAGACATTTCTGCAAAGAACACATACAAATGACCAACAGACACATGAAAAAGTGCTCAACATCACTCGGCATCAGGGAAATCCAAATGAAAACCTCAATGAGATACCACCTCACACCAGTCAGAATGGTTAAACTTAACAAGTCAGGAAATGACAGATGTTGGCAAGGATGTGGAGAAAGGGGTATCCTCCTACACTGTTGGTGGGAATGCAAGCTGGTGCAGCCACTCTGGAAAACAGTGTGGAGGTTCCTCAAAAAGTTGAAAATAGAGCTACCATACAACCCAGCAATTGCACTACTGGGTATTTACCCCAAAGATACAAATGTAGTGATCCGAAGGGGTACGTGCACCCCAATGTTTATAGAAGCAATGTCCACAATAGCCAAACTATGGAAAGAGCAAAGATGTCCATCAACAGATGAATGGACAAAGAAAATGTGATATATATATATATATATATATATATATATATATATATATATATATATATATATATATACACACACACAATGGAACATTATGCAACCAGCAAAAAATGAAATCTTGCCATTTGCAACAACGTGGAAGAAACTAGAGGGTATTATGCTAAGTGAAATAAGTCAATCAGAGAAAGACATGTATCATATGATCTCACTGAAATGAGGGATTCTTAATCTCAGGAAACAAACTGAGGGTTGCTGGAGTGGTGGGGGGGTGGGATGGCTTGGTGATAGACATTGGGGAGGGTATGTGCTATGGTGAGCACTGTGAATTGTGTAAGACTGATGAATCACAGACCTGTACCTCTGAAACAAATAATATATTATATGTTAAAAAAAAGAAAGTAAAAGAAGATAGTAGGAAGGAAAAATGAAAGGTGGGGAATTAGAGGGGGAGAAGACCCATGAGAGACTATGGACTCTGAGAAACAAACTGAAGGTTCTAGAGGGGAGGGGGTGGAAGGATGGGTTAGCCTGGTGATGGGTATTAAAGAGGGCACGTATTGAATGGAGTACTGGGTGTTATACGCAAACAAAGAATCATGGAACACTACATCAAAAACTAATGATGTAATGTATGGTGATTAACATAACATAATAAAATAAAATTTAAAAAAAGAATACAGGCTATGCAATCAGGCCATCAGGGTTTGTATCCTTGCTTCTCTATTACTGTGTGACTCTGGATAAATTATCCCCCAAAGCCTCAGCATCCTCATTCATAAATAGCAATAATAATAATAATAATAATAATAGCAATGATGCCAAAATTAATAGGGTTGTTCTGAGAATTAAGTGAGTTAATGTACTTAGAATCATGCCTACATCATAGAAAGCCTTTAAGAGTGGTTGCTATCATTTATGTGCCATAGCTTCATTATGGAGCATCTTGGTGTTACAATCAAATGTAATATTTTTTACAACTTAATAAAAATCTAAGTTTGATGAGTTGAGAATCATTCCTTAAGATTCAGTTTGTATATTAATATTTTGGGGAGATACTTTTTTTAAAGAAAGCAAGACAATTTGTCAAAAGACTAATTCAATGAATAAACAATTCTTTATTTTCAAGAGCATATTATTTATTTTTATATACATATATACAGTTCTCAATAATATATTCTTCCTATATTCAATGAAAATGTGTAAGTAGTATAAGCTTTGCATGGATATACTTTTGAAAATAATATAAGTATATTCACTGATAAACACAGTACATTTGTAGATGCCATAAAGCTTCAAAAATAACTAATATACTTGAAACATTTTTAAGATGTTTCCACTTGGCTTTGATATTGTGCAAAGGCTCATATGATAAAGTCAATTAAAGCAAAACATAACATCATCCAAGTAATTATTTGCTCAAGGTCCTTAAAGATAGGAGAAATGTCTTTTTCTCCTTTGTTTCCTCCACCCAGCACAGAAGATGGCACTGAGGACATTCACTAAATATTAATGGATGGAAAGAAGGAGGGAAGGAAGGGTGGAAGGAAGGGAGGAAGAGGAAGGGTTGGAAAAGGGAAGAGAGAGATGGAGGAATGGAAGGAGGAAGCTAGGAAGAGAAGGAGGTAAAGGGGGGAAGGCAAAAGGAAGGGAAAAATAGAACAATATAGGTAGTAATTTGACAGTAATATATAATTTTTAATACCAGAGAATCTTTGCTGATCAGAAAAACAGTACTCAACAGACAAGCTATTCTAGCCCAGACTTTGCCACTCACTAGTCATTAGTCCTTGGGTAAGGAACTCTATGCATGTTTCTTCATCTAACATGGGGATACCATCTACCCTCACAGCACACTCGTAAAAATCAGATGGGATAACACTGAGTGCTTTGTGAATTTTTAAACAATGGAGTGTAAGATATCATTTTGAGGTAATTATTAAAACACATAAACAGTATCTTTTTTGTTGCTAAAATATTATTCAGTTTCAGGTTCCAATGAAGTACATACAATATTTAGATCATAAGATCCAATAGTTTAAAGGTTATCTGAACTGACCAGAGTGCATCTAGAACACAGTTTTTCAAAGGGACTCTGACGAGCACTATTATATCCAGGATTAACGAAAGTTATAGAAATTGTATTATTGTGGAAGAATTAAAAATACTAAGCTTGCTTAGTTTAGAGAAAAGTAAATTAAGGCAAGTTGTGGAAATAATATTAAAGTGTCGAATATGGCTGCATAAAAGAAATATATGCTGCTGCAGAAGCAGAAGGAAAACCAATTAATGAAAAATCCACAGAAGCAAATTTTAATCATATACTAACTTTCCAATAAGAGCTATCCGTGGTAGGCAGGATAACAGCTCCCAAAGATGTCCGTGTCCTAATTCCCAGAACCTGTAAATACGTTGCCTTACATGGTAAATGGGACTTTGCACATATGATTAAGATTAAAGACCTTGAGATTGGAAGATTATTCTGGATAATCCAGATAGGTCCAAACTAATTACATGAATCCTCAAGAGCAGAGAACTTTCCCAGCTGTGTAGAGAGGAAGATGTGAGTAGTAAAAAAGGTCAGAGATACAAAGTTGCTGGCTTTGATGATGAATGTGGCCATGAGCCTAAGAGTGTGGGCAGCCTCTAGAAGTTGTAAAAGGCAAGGAAATGGACTCTCCCCTGGAGCCTCCAGAAGAGAACACAGTCCTGCTGACGTGGATTTTCACTCAGTGAGATCCATATTGGACTTCTAATCTACAGAACCATCACATTGTACATATTATTTAAATCACCAATTATGGCAATTTGTTATGGCAGCAATAGGAAATTTATACACTGACCAACAAGGAAAAGGCCACCTTGAAGTTAAGCAATCTGTCTTGAGAGAGAGTCATCAAAAAGCTCTTAAAGGCATGTGCCCGGCCAGCTCAGTCGGTAGAGCACGAGACTCTTAATCTCAGGGTCGTGGGTGCGAGCCCCACGTTGGGCGCAGGTCCTTTTGAAAAAAAGCTCTTAGAGGCGATGTGAAAAGTAATCCTACAAAGAATGGATGGGAATCTACAATAAATTAATCCTATGACTTCTTTGAATTCCATGACTCTACAACTGAAATAAGTAAGGGTCATTAAATTGATGGCAATGGAATGAACAGGGATAGAATACTACACCCAGAGAACCTTGGTCTCTTTCAGATTCCCAAGTCATTTGGTCTTCAGGTAGGTCAGCCATTAAATGATCCCCAAATTCGAGAAGTCATTGCCAGTTATGGGTCTATCCACTGTGAAAGGGATTTACAATTACATAAGTTACTGCTAGATCCTGGGGCCCCTGGGTGGCTCAGTTGGTTAAGCGACTGCCTTCGGCTCGGGTCATGATCCCAGGGTCCTGGGATCGAGTCCCGCATCGGGCTCCCCCTGCTCTGCGGGGAGCCTGCTTCTCCCTCTGCCTCTGCCTGCCGCTCACCCTGCTTGTGCTCTCTCTCTCTGTCAAATAAATAAATGAAATCTTTATAAAAAAAAAAAGTTACTGCTAGATGCTGCTTTGGTTTTAATGGTGTGTTTTTCTGGAAAATTTTGGGGACAGGTATTCTTAGGGATATTAACCATTTCCAGTGTGTCCAAATTTTATTCCTATCCCCAGCAATAGATCCAAATTTAGTGGGAAACTCCAAAACCAACCTACTTTTTGAAGAGCTACTAGATATTAGATGGAGTGAAAACTCTAAAGTAAGTCTGGAAACCAGATTTATAAATGGTGAATAATTGCACAGAAGGAGAAGGCAGAGGAAGAATGCATTTACATAGTCTACTGGTCTCTAATATACATACTTGTAAGTTAAGTTATTTTGGCTACCTTCTGCTGGAGGAACCAAACTAGAACAAAATTCATAATCAACATAACCATCAAATTCTGTTTATGGATCCATAGGTAGAACCAAGTTTTTTACCCAGGATATACATGAGATTCATCCAAGGAGCTCTTTTAAGACTCAGACTCTAGACTCTACCCCCATAAATTATGATTTGGTAGGTCGAGAGTGGTACCAAAATTTCTATAGTTTTAGAAAGCTTCACAGTCAAAGCTCATGCACAGCTTGAATTGCATACCACTGTAATGGAGTACTATGCTCACTTACCTCTCTCCACCAAGAGTATATTTTCTAGTCCTTTTTTTGTCAGCAAATATAAATGAGAAGACATGATCCTGTCCAGTTGATCCAACACCATACAGACTTTTTCATTAATGATCCTCATGGTTATGAAACTCATATAAGCAACAATTTAGGGCACCTAAGTCACTTGGACACCAATCCGGATACCCCAACTTTCAACCTTATGTTTGGACTATGGAATTTTGTTTCCTTTATATTCTTTATGATTTCAGAAGTTAAACTGTCTGTCCTTCAGTCACTTGACTTGTCTCTAAAGGCTCATTTGTCCAGAGGGAAAAATGAGGTAGAAATAAAGGTCATATTCTCACCAAAAAGACAATGTTCGTATTTTGATAGAGAGCTCGTGCCACACAGATTCTTTGCCTCTGACCCCCACTCAGGTTGATGCCCTAGAGAAGAAATAACCATAAACATCCACCCTTTCCAATAGTAAAAATTCTCTTTAAAATACAAACTTCTTTTTAAAAAATCTTAAATTAATGGTAATTTATTAATTAAATTGTGATAACATTGTTAAGGTAAAATGAAAATTGTCTATTTTCTGGTCAATGCTTTATAATTATATTAATACTTTATAAAGTACTGGTCAATACTTTATATTAAGATAATTTTTGACTGTTAACATAAATCCTTTTTTCACTCTGATAGACAGCTCTGCTGTACAAAAACATCAATAACCAAACACATGGTGAGTTGAGTGCTAAACACAGCAAGTAACTCCAGAATTTTTACTAGTTTTGTGAATTGTGTCTGTAGTTTACTTAACATATACCTCTTAAATTTGATATTACCAATTATGTTCAACAGAACTATATAGCAGTACTATATATCAAGTACTAATTATAATTTATATAATCAAATACTAATTATAAACATTTTTAAACTATATGGAGCACTTGGTATGTGCTAGGCTTGTGTGAATGCCTTTACATTCCTTATTTCTTCTATTCCTTATAGCAATTCCAATATATAGGTATCATTCCCTTTACACACGAGGAAACTACAAGTCCATACTCTTAAATACTATACTGTGCTGCAATCAAGAATAGGCATTAAGAACACAGACTACAGAGTTAGATGAATCCCAGCTACACCACTAACTTGGCAAGTTCTTCAACGTTTCTCAGGTTAGTTTCCTCAGCTGCAATATGCAGAAGATGATAACACCCATATAACAAATTTGCTGTAAACATAGATAATGCATAAAATTTTTGCCCAGTACTTGAAACCTATAAGGGTCAAAAAATTTTAGCCAAAATTGTTATAAAGATTATATACAGGCATAAGTATTTTTTAGCTGCCCAGAATAGTATGACATCACTGTAAAACATGTTTACACAAAGAAAAAAAAAAAAAGACTTTAACAAGAATAAATAGATGTGGACAAGAGTGGAAGAAGTCAGAAATAATCTCAATTTCAACTCCAAGTAAGGAAAAATACATTTGATCAAAGGCAGGAACTGCATTATATTCCTTAAGAACTCTCTAGTAGCTAGCATGATGTTACATAGATGGTGGTTACCCAACAAATACTTAAGGAGTGGAATTAAAGCTCCTGTGCTCCTGTTTCTGGAACCTGTCACTAGGACAACACACAGCTCCTATACTCTCAGATTTCATTATGCTCCATTAAAGGTTAAAGACAACCAGAAGACTTTTCTAGATTTTTGTTTATTGTTTAAACTATACATAGCTCACCCTCTCTCCAATTTCAGTTTGGTCTCCAAAAGGTAGTAAGTCAATATCTGGCTGAAGAGAACAGGCATCTGTAACAGCTTTGTACCTTTGGGAGAAATTATTTTGAATTTTTAGATCACTATTAATATACTGCCCAGAAAGTAAGTCCCAGGTTCAATATCTTGGAAGCCGAAATACAACATTTGTTGAACAATTTAGTACAGATTAGCCCCTACAGTGGGTTTGTGGACACAAAGCTAATTAGATATTGGTTCCCACTCTTATAAAACTACCAAATGGAGCAGAAGACTGATAAAGAAACATATAATAAAATTGATCTCCTTAGGCACTACAGCAGAGGTAGGTGTAAAATGCTCCTAGAATACATAGAAATGGCTGACCACTCTGAGAAATTAGTGACGGCTTTGCAAAGGAGGCAACACATAAGCTGTACCCAGAAGGATGAGTTGTAATTTGCCCAGAATAAAATGAGGGAAAGGAAGCTTTAGGAACTGCACAAAGGTGAAAAGGTCATGGTGCATCTCAGGGACAACAGGAGGCTCACTCAAGTTGAAACACAGGTTGCAGGTGGGTGTCTGCATATGGTCATGCATGCAGAAGGGAGGAGAAATAGAAGGTGTTCAGGATTGACAATACTCAAATAAATCTAAGGCTGGGACCGGAAATGATAAATTGGAAGTTTAGGGAACCATAGAGATAGGGAAGGCTGGGGAAAATATCCATAGTTTCATTTTCTCAATCATCTAGTTTTAAAATATTAAAAAGTCATTCTTGAATAATCCCTCTTCTTCCTTGCTCTTACTTTTCCATTCTTTTTCTAGAATGGTTTTCTGTCAACCGTCTCTTCTTTTCTATTTCTGCAGTCACCCCCAAGTGTAGGCAATGAACACTTCATGCCTGGACGATTATTCCAACAAACATCTAAATGTCTCCTTGCTACTAATTCATATTCATCTTGTATGTATCCACCATTAAACTTCCAGACTAAACATCACATTTACTTTGCTATTCCCCTTTCTAAAACTTACAGCGCCTCCCCAGAATGCACTGAATTATATCCAGTTGTCTTTTAAGGCACTCCACTACATCATTTCAGCTTTTATTTATAAACTAGTTTGCCACTGTCAATACACATAAATCCTTTCCTGACTGGTTTGTTCCCCAGGCCTCAAATGTTCCCATGTAATTTAGGTTCTTCCTCCCACACTATCTGCTTTCCTCTTCCCTCCCCTCCTCATGCCTCTCCCCTGACCTAATTCTTAACTTTCAAGGTTTGACTTAGGGTTTTAAGACCCAGTCCTGAGATGATGGCTTCATGAAAGGGTTATGCCTTTGTGCACTCTGGTGGTATTTAAAGATGGTTGAGAGATGGCATGTTTTGGCTGCTCTCAGTAACTAGACCTCTCAGGTCCTACATTATTCTTCTTTCCATCAATAACTTTCCTTCTGCTCCTTGCTTTTTTCCTTCTACTTACCAATAACTTCAGTAACTCCCCCTGCCCCCCAATTCCATTTCAGCTGTTTAGTTTGGTGTACAAGTTGTTCTCAATAAATGTACAAGATGGGCTGAGACTTCCACTAAGACTTCTCTTTAAAAAGTTGACTCAGAAGACCTGGTGGTGAGGAGGGAGGCAGGCAAGCAGGGAAAAAGGAAGTCATGGCTATAAAGGTTCCCATGGACCAAACATAAGGATTAGAAATAGTTTCTCATTTTAGTTCTAAATTTTATACATTCAAAATTACCTCTGTTTGTTGAAAGGACTTCCAAAGGTAATATTTTCTTCTACTGTAGCATTTAATAGCCAAGGCTTTTGAGCTGCATAAGCCACAGAATACCTGTTCCTACTGGAAAATGGAAAAGAAAAACAAAACGCCAAAATTATACCAGGGTGTTGTGCTGTGTGTATTTTAGTAAAACTAAGGAAAATAAAAGTTGATAAAATATCTCAGACACAGAAATGGAAACTTCCAAGAAAGAACATTTTAATAACCACCAACCTTATTATTTAATGGTTAAGTATTTCACCTAAATTAAAAGGATTTGAATTTAATCAAAATGTCTCCCAATGTGCAAAATTTAATTTTGCTTTGCTAAAGAAGTGTTTAAATAAATTGAAAATTTACTTTCTAAAATGACTGTAATTTTAAAAATAATTAAAAGATAAATAGCAACACACTCTCTCTGATTGCCACAGCTTTTTCCTTTTTATTAAAAGCAATTTACGTAATTATTAATTTTATATGCAGACCTTAGAAAAAGACATGAATTGGTATTGTGTCTGTGGCTTAATCACATTAACATATTTTAAGATAATAGGTAATATATAATTATTTCAAAACAAAGAATAATATATTGAGGAGTCCATTTTAATATTGAAATAACACACATCTAAAAACTATGTATTTCAAAACATATTGAAATAGTTTATTTTTTAAAAAATTATAACCTCTTCCTCCTCCCCCATTTTTTTTTTTTTTTGCTTGCAAATTCTACCAGATGTCTATATATCAGACTTTAATTTGTAGTAACAAATACATGTGAGTTGAAGATAAAGAATACGATGGGATTGGGGTAAGAAAGGGGTCAGCTTTAAAGTCACACTTCCACAGTTAGTTCATGGTCTGTAAGTACTAATTAAGGAATCAAGGTTAAAAGATAGTAAGGTTAAGAAAAAGAGTAATTAGAAATTCTCAGTGATCACCTGAAACATTATGTCTTAGGAGGTTAAAAGACATGATGATACACAGTATGCTAGTAGTCTCTGAGATAACCATATGTACAGTAAAACAATGGTTCCCAACTTCTGACATGTCTCCTTCCCCTCCCCCCAGTCTTCCTATCTCTAGCTTATGGACAGATCCCATCACTGTTTAACTCATAAACAATATACATATTCTTGCATTTTTATTTTACGAAGTCCCAAAACCAATTTGCTAAGAAAGAACAGTTTGAATTTCAGCCAAAGTTGAGAACTTTGTGAATCATGGAGAGGAAAACCATTGACACAATGGGCCATTTTGTTTGGCAAGTTAATTTTTTAACAGCCTATAAGTGTTGGGAACCACTGCTTTTGGAAATATGTAGGCACATTTTAATAAAAACTTCATACACTATAAGAATGAATAAAATGACCAGGAGTAAGAGACTGAGTATTAAGTAAAGTCTGAGGAAGAAAGTTATTCTTATTAAACGCAGATTAAAATAGAAATAATACCTTCTGGTTGCTTCAAAAGAAGGTTCAGATTCATTTACACTGCAAGTATGGCAAACAATGTTCATTAATTATGAAATATAAATATAGAATGAATGTGTGCATATATCAGGTTGGAAATAAAATAAACATTGAACATATTCAAGAGCTGTTTCCCAAATGGTTTTTGATATTAATTTCAAAGACAAACCAGACAGATAATAGTTTTCTTTTACATCTTCATCAGCTAGGAAATAATTACTTAGTAACCTTCCAAAAGATAGACAGTACTATTCTATTACATACAAAATCTGGGTTCATACAGTGACCTGAGTTCTACCCCAACTCTGTTCCAACAAGCTGTATAAATTTAGGTAATCTTCCTAGAATAGTTTTCTAGTCTGTATAAGGATTTGGTATCTCCAAGGCCTTCCTACCTTTAAAATTCAAATTTAATCTATTTAAATTCTTAATTAGCTACCCTGTGGCATGAAAAGAAGAACATTTTGGGGGCTCTAAACTTAAAAGGTTTAGACACAGCCTGGCCCTTAAGGAACTGGTGAGAAAGACAGACATGTACAATAAGTCAAACTGCAACATTTGGGTAAAATTAAGTATTGTTTGATATGATTCATGTACAAAAAGGTGTTTGTCTAAAAACATTTAGTTATGTCTATGTTATGGGGGAAAAAAACACCTGAAGACCTATTCATTTTATTGTTCTGAATTTTAATAATTTAATCGAATCCCATCCTTCGGAAAGACCTGAATTCAGAAACTACACACAAAATTGAAGTCCAATGGAACCCCCAAAATAGATCTGATTTGGCTTTGGAAAACACCATATGCTTTTGTGGAGAAAATATACCTAAGTACGTTGCCTGGTGATGTTTAGCTTTGAGCTACTAATGATAAGATTTTCACGCATGCACATTGCTAATAACATCTTGGTATGGTTAATGGAAGCAGGAAAAAACTATCTCAGACTAAAAATTCCCTCTCAAAAATGACTATTCCCTAACTTAAGTTGCTCACACACACAAAAATGAAATATACAATTTCCCTTAAGTGATAGTTCCACATAATATGCTTTAGATATAGAGAAATTTGATTTTCTAATGGTAAAAAGCCAGTGAATGACCTCAATGGTTTTAGTTAATTTGAGGAAGACAGAAAACAGATGAAGAAAAGCAGGTGTATGGCAGAAATTAATGGATTCATTTGCCCACTGGCCATTCAGCCAGAAGTGCCAATTAGACTCATGAAAATGCTCACCAGATGTTTGAAAATGTCAGCCCAGATTGGACATATGAATTTGGAAGGCATCAGTTTTTTTCAATTACTATTCATTAAATTCCAACTATATTTATTCAATATCAATTTTAAAGTATATATTGATCATCTCCCTAGGAAAAGAACATCCAGTCCACGTTTGGCAAGCCAGGGTATACAGCAGAGTTGCTGCCAGAGGGGCAAGCAAGAGTGAGCTAGATGAAGTAAAGGTGAAGAGTATTTCAGACCCACTAAAACACATACTGATGGTCTTGAGTTATCCCGGCCTTACAAGGAACTGATGTAAATTCGGCATGGCTAAAATGTGGGTGTAAATGGCAAGTGAAGAAAAAAAGTATGAGTGAACTTAAAAAGCATGCACAGCCAGAAAGCAAAGGGGCTCATAAAACATTTTTACAGTTATTGAACTTGTCTTCAGAACAACAGAAAAATACTGAAAAGGTTTAAACAAGAGAGAGTGAGATAGGTTCAGTTTAGATATATCACTCTAATTGCAGAATGTACCAAACGAATTGGAGGAGCAAGATTAGACTGACAGAGAGACCACTGGAAGTGGTCAGTAATCAAGATATGAAGGCAGTGCTTTGAATTAGAATAATGGTGAATGAATGAAGAGAAGTAGATACCTTCAAAGATACCAAGATGGGAGGGGATACAGGAGAGGAAGAAGTTGTGGACAGGGAACACAGATGAGGAAGTGCATATGTTGGGGGAAGATAGCAAATTCAACATCAGACACATTCCGTTTGAGGTACCCCAGGGATTCCCGAATGACCATGGCCAGGAAGCAGAATTTGAAGCTTAGGAGAGAGAGCTGGTAAACAAATGAAGACCTTGTAGTGATGTTTCCCTCCTAATATATGCCTTAGGTATCAAGGGCTTTGGATTCCATCTTTAATTAGTGAAAAGTCAATAAATGACTTCCAACAATTGTAGTTTGTTTCATAATAGAACACAGGTACAGGACCAGATAGAGGAAACTAAATTCATAGGAAGCTATCTGATTGCCTGGTGAGTATATACAGAGGCAGAAATGAAGGGGACAAAGTCAGAACCTGAAAAACAGCAGTATTTAATAAATGGCTAAGGAAGAGAAACTGGAGAAAGGACCAAAAGGAGCAGGCAAATGCTTTGAGGTAAACTCAACTGTGAGTGGAATTTAAGCAAGGAGACCTGTTAAAGGAAAAGGTATGGGCAACAATGTCAAGTGGCCAGGAAATCAAGTAACATAATGATCAAAAAGTACCCTGTGAATTTAAAAACTAGGATGCCAGTGATGGACTCAACAGTTTCAGTGGAGTGGCAGAGGTAGAAACCAGAGTGTAGTGGGCTAAGGCAAGAGGAGTATAAGAGGAATGGACTAAAGGAAGGGGCTAGAGTAGTAGTTGAAGGGGGCTGTAGGTAGAGATTAGAAAGATAGACAGAGACAGGATAGAGATAGAGATAGAGACAGAGATGGGAGAGTGCTGTTTTTCCACAAATAAAAATAGAAAAGAGCCTGGGGCTGGACTAGATGTGAAGCAGATAAAGAGAAAAAGACAACATGCTTTGGATATAGGGTATCTCAGTCTACTAAGGAGACCATCCACATTAGTTACTTAAACAAAATACAGAGGGACCAGGAGAGAAGGTACATTTCAATCTACCTGGAAGAATAAGAGAAGGTTTTGTCGAAGAGATAATATGTGAGTTGACACTAGCAAAAAAGTGAGGCTAACAATCTAAGGAAGGGCATTACAGAGGAAATGTGTGCATCTGGGAAATGCCTGCAATTCAGAGTTACTAGAGCACAATAGTAAGGGTACAGGGATGGCAGGATAAGAGCTTAAGAAGTTAGACAGGGACCAGATCATGAAAGGTCTGGTATAGTATGCAAAGGTTTTTGGAATATTTCTTGTATGCTTTGGCCAGTCAATAAAAAAAAATTATAAGCAAGAGGTAATTAGATTTTCACATCAGAAAGGTACATCTCCTAAAAGTATGAAGAAAGGTGAAGGAGTTATTACAGTGAATAGTTCACAAATGCAATTCTCCTGAACTAGGCAAATTAAAATAGGCATAGCAATGTTAAGGACAGACAGAAGGAAAGTGACTGGTTGGAATGTGGGAGCAATGGAGAGAGAAAAGAATCTAGGTTGAACCTTTGAGCTCTGACTTGGGCATCCACCAACTGATTTCAGTTGGTGGGGACACACCCCTGCCAAGATACAGGGGAAGTAGGTATTGGAGATATAAGGGATATGAACTCAGTTTGGATGTGTTCAATATGTAGCTCATATAAGGCTTTTTGGAGGAGTTATTAGGTCTTCAGAAGAAAGATCTTGGCCAAAAATGTACATTGGTATGCTGTTAATACTTAGAGAAGAACTGAAATCAAAGATATACATTAAGGGCCATGTAAAGGAAGAGGATACTACAACAGACCACAGAAAGACTGAAGAAGAATTAGAATATTCTTCCCCACCTTCTATCTCCACTTATATTGCAGCTCCTTACTTTTTTGACTCCTTAATGTTGCTTTATCCTTAAAATATAAGTTCAAGTATCATTCATTTATGCATTCCCCTAAAAAAGCCTGTTGACCCCACAGACTCAAGTCAGTTAGGTTACTTATTATTTGTTCTTATAAAATCCTGTACTTCTTCTTCCTGGCATTTATAAAAATTTAACCAAATAATTACTTATGGAATTATTTTCTTACTTCCTATGGCCTTCCCTGCTAAGCAGTAAGCTTCATGAGAACAGGGCCTGACTTGTTTTGCTCAGTTATTTTCCCCTAGCAACTAACACAGTGATCTGCATGTCAAAGATATACTAGTATTAGAGTAAGAAAGATAAAATAGATATGGTTCCTTTTGTAGGCAGACATCTTCCATGAACAAATTAAAAAAAAAAAATCTTACTCTTTCGTTTTCCATAGTCCTTCATAGTCCTTAACTTCTAAAGACCACCTCTACAACCTTCTACACAGCAGTAATATGTTTAATCGAATTCAACTGTGGAGGACTATTTTTCTCTTCCAAAATCAATAGAATTATCTCTGACTTCCAACATCGGATCTTATTTGATTACATGAAAATCACCAGGACCACATCCAGACCCATCCTCTACCATTCACTGTGGCAGTGAACCGCACTGAAAGCCACAAAAGAAAACAAAGGGGTCATATGGAAAATCCTCTTCTGGAAAATGGCATAAGATTTCCCTTCTGCATGCAGGATTTGAATGTATTTTCTTTCAAGAGTAAAAATTAAACTTGAGAGCTAGCAACTTTCAAGTATCATGGATGATACCTATGGAATGGGAAAGAGTGACTTTTGCAAGCTAAAATTTAGAACGGGAGCTAGATGTGGACACAAACATGCTGTATTATATCTAATCCAGGAAAGCTGACTCGATGTGTTATTCCTTCTTACCAGGCAAAGTCACATGAAAAGGAGTAACTTCTCAATTCACCTGTCTTAGAATAATTGAACCACTGTTACAAAGCTGATTATATCAAGACACTAGAAGATAGAACATCAGCACATATGGGGCCTGACAGGAGGATTGTTAATAGCTTGGGCAAGAAGGAAAGGGAAAGAAAGGGAAACCAAAAACAAATGATGTCGTGTCTCACATGATTACCACACTTATTACACATTCCAGACTCCCTCACTGGAACCGCCCATTAGGTAGAGCAGTTTAGTTCTAGCTCCTAAGATGTCAGTAGGAATTACTGTTTATTAAGACAACTAGGGAAAACAAATTCATTCAGGCAGAACATTTGCTTTTCTTTCTTTCTTTTCTTTCTTTTCTTTCTTTCTTTCCTTCTTTCTTTCAGATTTATTTTTAGAGAGGAGGGGGAGGGGCAGAGGGAGACAGAATCTGCACTGAATGCCGAGCCCTTCTCAAGGTTCAAACCCGCAACCCTGAGACCATGACCTGAGCCGAAACCAAGAGTCAGACGCTCAACCAACTGTGCCACCCAGGCACCCCAGAACATTTGCTTTTCAACAAATATTGAGCACACCAAGATGCAGGAGTAAAAACCCTGACATTCTGACAATTTTGGAAAATTTTTTAGTCCCTTCCTTGTCTCTCTCACCTTTCTCTTCTGGGGCTACAACATGGTAGACTAGGTCAAAGGTAGCAATTTCCAAAGAAACATCTATAGAGGTCCTTGTGTACCTGGTTCTATCCATGTAGGTGTGTCCTAGATGAGCAGCAGTACCTTCTCTCCCGCCTAAAGTAAATATTTATCACCACAATAGGGCAAAGTACTTTATTGGACTTTGCTCATGCCAGTCTATGAGAACACATGTAAAAATAAAATTCATGCAACCAGAGATACATGCAATGGTGAAATAATGACAGCAAGGCACTTGATGCCTTATGCTAACATTTAGTTTATTGGGTTTTTTTTTTTTTGAGCTTTCAACAATATCAAACATATAGTACTTCTTAGCATTTGCACATCATCAACCTATCATTTCTTTTTTTTTAATTTTTTATTAAAATATAATGTATTATTTGTTTCAGGGGTACATGTCTGTGATTCATCAGTCTTACACAATTCACAGTGCTCACCATAGTACATACCCTCCCCAATGTCCATCACGCAGCCACCCCATCCCTCCCACCCCCCTCTACTCCAGCAATCCTCAGTTTGTTTCCTGAGATTAAAAGTCTCTTATGGTTTGGGAGGGAAAAATGAAACAAGACGAAACCAGAGAGGGAGACAAACCACAATACTGATCATTTCTAAGTTAGCTTCACTCTAATAACATTTCTATGCCTTTCCTTATTGGACTAGGCACAACAACCTCTTATGGAATGAAGAGTAATTACAAATAACTCTTTAAAAGAAGGTCAGTATCTTCTGAATATTCCTGATCTGAAAATATGTTTTATCAGAGATTAAGGATACCATGGAAGAAAATTAAGTAATTCTTGTAGTTAAAGGAAAATAGAATTTGTGTTAGTTTATCGAATCTTAGAGACTTAGTTTTTAAGAGTTGTGTCTCTAAGCGAACACAAACAGTATTTGAAGAAAATCTCAGTCCTTCTGCCATTAAGAGATGGAATTACTGTCTGTGAAGGCAAGTGTTCATAAAAAGATGATTTTTAAATTATGAGGATTTTATAAATACTTAGAATTATCTTAAATCCCTTCTTACACCTTCATCCTATTGGCTTTATCTCTAAGATATAATCTTTTTTATTAGCTTTTATTATTAGGATCCATAAGAAAGATTTCTTAACCTCGGTTGAGTAACTGCATGTTTTTATCTCTAGTTTCCTTTTTGCCTAGCTTTCATGAAGCTCAGAGGGGAATCTGTGCTCCATGTTTTATAAATACACAGGACTCTAGTGCATGCATTTCTACCCATTCACGTCTCAGATTACTTAAATCTTATTTTTTTGATATCTTTATCTTTATTTTTCAAGCTTTATTATAGTATGTTATTTTACTTATTTTTAAAAAATATTTTATTTATTTATTTGAGAGAGAGAGAGAGGGAGTGGGGAGGGGGAGAGGGGCAAGAAGACTCCCCACTGAACACGGAGCCTGATGCAGAGCTCATCCCAGGACCCCGAGATCATGACCTGAGCCGGAATCAAGAGTTGGATGCCCAACCGACTGAGCCACCCAGGTGCCCCTAGATTATGTAAAATACTTTCCTAAGTAGCATATCATTTATTTATCCATTAACAAAATGATAAAGATATTAATGATAATATTGGAAGTTGATCTGGCCTAAGTGGGATCTTAAATTTAACACTAGAGATGACTAGATTAGAAGAACATCCTAGAGGTCTGAAAATAAAATCTCAAGCTTCTTCTGTCATGATTTCCCATTCTTTCTTTCTGTTTTAATGACAGTGAAACAAAGGTAAAAATAAAACCCAAATAACTTGATTATGGTTGAACACGTCACACAATATAATTTAATCAAGTAAAACCTACTTCTCAAAACCTATAAGATGGAAGGAGATAGTGACAGGGCAGACCGCCTGGTGCCTGACCTTAATGATCACCAGGAACTTGTCATGAAACAAACTGTAGGTAGCAATTATTTACCAAGCTCTCTTCTGGATATTCACTAAATAGTTTCATGTCTACTGTCTTTTCAGTTGGCCCACTAGGAATAAAATGTACACTCAACATTTCTCAGTCTCCTTCTTTTGTCCATGATACCAAATATAGGATGTTTCCTTCAAATTTCACATCCACGCATTTTCTTCTCTTTACTGGAGTTTAACATAGAGTCAATTCTAAAAATGCCTTTAAATAGTCTTTACTCACTCTTGAGACATATCTGTATGTAAACAGTGGAGTCAGCAGCAATAGAGTTCACAATGGTGGGGTGCAAAATATGAGCAAACATCTACTGATCTAGAGCAAAGTTTCCCAACCTCGGCACAACTGAAGTTTGGGGCCAGATGATTCCTTGTTTTGTGTGGCCGGGGGAGGGGAGTCCTGTGCACTGTAAAATGTTTATCAGCAACCCTAGCCTCTACCAACAAGATCAGAAGCAGCCTATTTCCCCAGCGTGACAACCAAAAATATCTCCCCCAGGAGCAAAATCACACCTGGTTGAGAACCACTGTTCTACAATCCAATTTCTTAGATAAGCTGTAGCCAATTGCTTCATAAACTGCTTATGGGGAATCTACTAGGTAGGTCGAACTAAATAAATAGGATTAACACTTTATTACACAATTATATAATATCATGGTTCTGAGTCACTTTATTACTGCAATGTGCTTTGAAGGCCGCAAGTCAACCATTCAAATATTCAGAAGAAACCCCATGCTAGATATTTCCTTTTTCATGCCTTTACAGTGACACACCATATCACTCTGACCCACCCATATGTCTCTTACTAGATATTTCTAATGTCTACTTTAAATTGGGTGTGAAAAGAAATGGCTGATTTCTCAGTCCCTTATGAAGATTTTGGAAAATATTATTTGGTATTTCTTCACTGAACACCGAACCATTACAGTTCTGTTTGCATTTAAGCTTTCCGAATAATGTCAGTTTTCCATAACTTCTTTTAACACAGGATGAATTTTCAAATTATTTCTTTGAATGTTACCCATTTAACTTTTAACTTTACAATCCCAATCATACTAGTTTATGCTATTTTAAACCTCTGTAAGAAACTGTTTTGTAATTTTTAATTTATGACATTTAAGGTTTCTACTAAAAAGCTGTACCTATTTCTTAGGGGATCCTCAGATTCCCAACCTAGGAATCTATTGCTCTAATTTCTTCCCTTGGAAGATCATCAGATGTATGACAGAGCAATAGAAACCAATTAAAAATAGACATACTTGCTCCAGTGAACTTTGCCTTCCAGTGCCTGCATCTCACCAAGAATAGCAAGAAGAAGAGAAGACTTCCCACATCCCACTTGGCCCACAATCATGGTCAACTGACCTAGAGAAATCAAACAAAGGATAAGAACAGGAGGACATAGAATCCTCTTCGTAAAATAAACCCAAAATACATTTAGAAAGGCTGATGTTTCAAAATCAATGGCTCACATTTGGTCTCCAGCAATAAGGTATATATTTGGTATATATAACTCCTTTCTCTGATACACAAGTTTTTTTGAAAAAGGAGAGAAAAATTAAAAGATATAGGTCTTGCTTTACTGTTTCCAACTATGAGAATGGCTGACATTAATGAAGAGAGCAATGAAATAATTGCCTAAATAATCTCGATTAGTTTTAATTTTATTATTCAATTCACTCAGGAGAGGGCAGTTTTGACTCAGATTGATAATTGGGATGAAAGGGATTTAGGCTGGCATTAAGACATCTTCTCCAATTTGATACTTTGATATGCATGTAAAATAGAAAAATCCCAATTTATCTGCCATCAGGCCAGGTCAAAAATGTATTTTTATTCAATTACCTAGACATTTTAAATAAAAATTAGTGGGCATTTGAGCCTTAAATATCTTGAAAACTTTAGTTGTCTTCAGGGATAGAAAACAATTCTCTTAAATAGTCTTTCTTTAAATCCTTTCTCAAACAAAACAAAAAATCAACTACCCCATTATTTAAATGGACAAATCAGCAAACGAGCTGATAACAGCTTATTTGGGCAGTAAATAACTTGTCCAAATGTCTACACACTCCATAGTGAAAAGCAAGTCTTAGCATTTCCAGTCATTTCCACAATGATACAGTGGCTCATGAGCTACATGGTGCAAATAAACAACTATAAATAATGTTTATAATATTTAAAAAGTCTTTTTTTTTGTTAAGATCAATTATCTTGGAAATCCAGGGTTGTGATAATTAACAATTAAAAAATGAGTAACAAATGACTTACCTGTTGGAATTCGAATATCTATATTTGATAATGTAGCTAAACCACTGCCCCATGAAAAGTAACCATTTGTGACCTAGAAAAGAAGAACATATAAATTAAATTATAAAATTATATATATATATTTGGTGTTATAGAATAATTCCAATTAAAATACGTTTTCTATTTAGAGCACTGAAAGACTTTCAGTATAAGGTAGAACACACAGTGGTGAAATTCTAATTTAGAGTTCTAGCTATTGAGGGGTATAAATGAAGAACAAAAAAGAATGGAAGTGAAAGGAGGGTCTTTGAATTAGTGATATTATGAATAAGCTAAAAATTACAATTTTCTCTGAAAATTCGGGATTACTAGATCATTTACATGTGAGCATTCTTAAAAAGCAATCATCCCAAATATTTTTTAATGTAACCCCAACACTGATTACTTTTCCAGTGCTAGGCAATTCCCAGCATCCTGGTGATGCAATGTATAGAGTGGAAATAATGACAAATTATTCCAACAAAATGATTCTGTTACCAGGAGGAAGGTTTTGTAATAAAGGAATTTCCTGAACTGTGTGGATTAATCTCTATTCAATGAAGTTAAAACAAAGAGTAAAAGGAAGAGTGGAATAAAACACAGAAATGAGGTAACATATACTGGTGGGATAAACCTCAACAACCAGCAAAGATCACAAGACCTATAGTCATCCAAAGCAATCTATTTAACAGGCATGAGGTGGACTTGATAGTTTTAATAGTTACAAAAATGGGAAACAAAAGAGGTACAACAGAACCAAAGGACGGAAGTTGCTTGAAAAGACAAGGTTGCAATTTTCCACATAGGTTTTCTCTAACTTGTAGAATGTAGCTCATTTAGTAATATCCGTCACATAGATGTACATGAAATTAGCCCCAGGAGGAGGGTGGAATGGAAGGGCTGCATTACTGATTGCTTTACATATATTTGCTGAGCACCCACTCTTTGTGAGGTGCTTTGTATCGATGTGGGCTACAAAAAAGGTGTAATACCTCCTGCCTACTTGCTTGGAGCTTGGAGCCAGTTGAGTAAATAGACCATGGACAGGAGCAAGTACAGTACAAGACAGTATGGGCTAAGTAACAAATAGAGGGGACAGGCAAATAAGGGTAACAAAAAGAAAACCATTCACAGTTGAGAAAGAAAACCATTTATGTCTGAGATGGGGCTTAAAATTTTTTTGGAAGAAGAAGTCTTTCAGCTAGTTTGGAAAATATATTGAATTACAATGAAGGCATTTGGGGGTAAAGACCTACAATACAAATAGGCACAGGATCAGAAAACTATGAAACATGTGGGAAATAATGACTAGAGCTGGCTGGGTTAGAGGTTTAAGATACTGTGGCTAACTGATAAATGACGCTCCAAAAATTTAAACAGCCTGAGGATCCTGTTTCTCTGAGGCTCAAGGAGCTGCAAATATAACTGGGTTTGGAAGTGGGCCAGCGTGGAACTGAGAAAGGCCCTCCCCGATAATCTTGTGTTTTCAACGAACTGAGAGTGAGGCTTGTTGGCAGAGAGGAAAAAGTCAAATGGGACATGGAAGGAGGTGAGAAGACAGTGCTGAAAGCTGAAGAGCCACAGGAGGCTGAGGAAACTAATGCTGACGGGAGGCACGTAAAGGATTGCCAGGAACTACTGAGGGGCATCAGAGCGGGGAGATCCTAAATGTGTGGCTCTGCCAACCGGTCCATTGTGTCATTTCCTCTATAGTGCTCGGTAGCCTCTTCTAGGAGTGTCAAAAGCACGAAGTTGGATTGGTTACAGAAAGTGCTAAAGGACTGAGGGAAAAAGAAGTGGCTCAAGTTGCTGGAGGTCTCGATAAGGTTAAAAAGCAATGTCAGCAGTGGTGAGGCCTGAGAGAGCTGGAAGTAGGGTTCTGGGGTCAGTGACTGCCTGACACAATAGAGTTTAAGATTTTGGAGGAGAGCAGTTCCCAGTGGTGGCCAGGTATGACCACAGGCAAGGTAGTAGAAATGGAGTGAGAGCAGAGTAAGAGATTTCTGGGCTGGGATACTAAAGAGTTGTGCACTTGGAAGTTTAAACCACATCCATGCAAGGCACCAAGTAAGCTAGGGAGATGGACAGGGAAACAGGTCCACAAAGGTAGAAAATGCCAAAACTTCACAAAGGTGTGAGAGTTGAAAAGATGGTCTGAAAGCAGCAGGGAAGGAGCTAGAAGAATGCAGTGTCGCTACACAGAAGTAAAAGAGGGGACAACCTCCGTTCAAGAAGGATGATGGAAGAGGGTCCAAGTTAGTCTCTCCTGCGGCAATCTGCACTTCCACTCCCTCCTGCCTTTTACAAAATAGTCTCATGTCTCCACCAGAGTTAAAATCCTAGGTTTACCTAAATATTTGTTTGACCTTGGAAAATCAGGCAACATATACATCTTTGCAAAGGTCCATAAAAGGGTAAGTACAAAAATGAACATCATAGCATGGTTTGTGATAGAAGGAAGATGGAGGCAAAGCCAGTGTCCATTCCTAGCGGATAAGGAAAATACAGTGATGTATACTACAGAACAGAGTAGTGTTGTAAGAAGGAGCAAACCATCATGAAAACATTTCAGGAGACTGAAAGCACATAGATGCTTTTTACATATTTTACAAGGATATGAGTATGTTTAGGCACATATATTGAGCACATTAGAGCTTGTACCATAATGGCAGGGGAGTGGTACAGAACAGGAGTGGGGATCATGGATAAGGGGAAAGAATGTATTAAAAGTAAAGGAAGGGGGTGCCTGGGTGGCTCAGTCAGTTAAGCATCTGCCTTCGGCTCTGATCATGATCCCAGGGTCCTGGGATCGAGCCCTGCATCGGGCTCCCTGCTCCACAGGGAGCCTGCTTCTCCCTCTTCCTCTGCCTGCTGCTCCCCCTGCTTGTACTCTCTCTCTCACTGTCAAATAAATAAATAAAATCTTTAAGAAAAAAAGTAAAGGAAGGAACTAGACAGATGCAAGTTACCTACTGCATGACCCATTTATATAAAATATCCAGAACAGATAAATCCGTAAAGACAGAAAACAGATTGGTGGTTGCCAGTGGTAAGAAATAGGGGTAAATGGGGGGTGACTGCTTAATGGGTATGGGATTTCCCTTTGGGATGATAAAAATATTTTGCAATGGGAGAGAGGTGGTGGTTGCCCAATATCGTGAATGTACTAAATGTCACTGAATTGTTCGCTTTAAAACAGTTAATTTTATGCTATGTGAATTTTACTTCAATTAAATAATTTTTTAAGAATTTAAAGGCAGGACATTACACAAACCATCGTCCATTTCCTCCTGCTGAAAATAAGCAAAAATAAGGAAAAGTGCTGAATAAACTGTAGTTTGTAAAGAAGTTCATTAAAACAAGGAGTAAGGAAATACCAAGTCCAAGTGTAAAGAAAAGGACAAATTCAGAGCTGTAAGACCTGAGGCACACTAAGCCTCGTTCCCACAAAGGGGACAAGAATAGCGAAGATATTTCAGAAGAAAAGCAATAACATAGGGGCACCTGGGTGGCTCAGTAGTTAAGCGTCTGCCTTCGGCTCAGGTCATGATCCCAGGGTCCTGGGATCGAGCCCCGCATCGGGCTCCCTGCTCGGCGGGAAGCCTGCTTCTCCCTCTCCCGTTCCCCCTGCTTGTGTTCCCTCTCTCACTGTGTCTCTCTCTGTCAAATAAATAAAATCTTTAAAAAAAAAAAAAAAAAAGGTTGATGCTGGGCGCCTGGGTGGCTCAGCCGTTTAGCGTCTGCCTTTGGCTCAGGTCATGATCCCAGGGCCCTGGGATCGAGCCCCGCATCGGGCTCCCTGCTCTGCGGGAAGCCTGCTTCTCCCTCTCCCACTCCCCCTGCTTGTGTTCCCTCGCTCTCTGTGTCTCTCTCTGTCAAAATAAATAAATAAAATCTTTAAAAAAAAAAAAAAAGAAAAACAATAACATATAAGAACTTGTCCTAAAATATGTCAGTGTTTATTAGAAAGTTATAATGATCATAACAGTGGAATCTGGGTGAGAGAAACCAATGAAAAAAAATAATAGAGGCCAGCAATCAGTCTAGACATATAAAGATCCTTGAAGTGTGTATGAGACTACACTGAATGTCAGTGGGGACAATGACCGATATGAGGAACTGGAACAACCGGATGTCATATAAAAAATTAAATCAGAGTTTACAGACTCACTACTAAGTGTAGTAAAATTACTGCCACTAAATTTACTACTGCTAAATTTCAACCAAAATTGTTTGTTACTGATTTCCCTTCTACATCACATCCCTACTTCATACCAAACACAAAGATGGATCCGAGGTTGATTCAAGAATTAAAAGTGAAAGGTATAGCTTCAAAGATTTTAGAAGCTAATATAAATCATCTTCATGACCTCTGGCAGGGAAAGTTTTCTTAAATGAGACAAAAACCCCAAAGCATCAGCCATAAGGAAAAGTTATATAAACCAGACTACACTAAAATTAACAACTTCTGATACGATAAAGCCAAGCTCTAAATGGAAGAAGAGTTCTGTAACATATAACTGCCAAAATAGCTAAAGTATAAAGTATAAAGAAGTAGTACCCAGAATTTTTTAAAGGTGGAGGGAACAAATAAGCTGGCAAGTCACAAAAGAGGAAATCAAAATCCACCTGGCCAATGTATACGTGAAAAGATGCTCAACCTCAGTAGAAATCAGAAAAGTAAATAAAAGTAAATAAAAAGCACAAGATACAATGGCACCTCCTCATAATACACACTTTGGCAAAATATTGGAAGCACTGGTGAAGATGCAGGGCAACCAGAACTCTCAGTCCCCATTGGTGAAAGTGTAAATTGGCACAACCACTTGGGGAAACAATTTTCCATTATCTGGGAAATGAGGATGCACAGACCCCGTGACTTGGCAATTGTTCACAATAGCCCCAAATGGAAAAATAACCAAAAGCCCATCAAAAGTAGAACAGACAAATAAATTTTGGCACATTCATACATTGAAATGTTACACAGTAATGAGAATGAATGAAGTACGTCTTCACATGATGATCCGGATTAACTAGACATACATAATAAGCAAAAGAAACAAAACACACGCACACACAAGCACACGTTTAAACTTAAAACAACTAAAATATGTTTTTAGGGAGGCATGCATAGCAGGGGTAACCAAGGAAATGATGACGATAAAATTCAGGGTGGCAATTGTTTCTTGGAGAGATAGGAGAGGGAACAGCAAATGTGTGCATTGGGAGGAACTTCGGAGGGAACCGGTGATGTTCTTTACTTGCTGGTTGCATAGGGGTTCACTTTTTCATTTAATGGTACATATATATTTTATGTACTTTTCTGGAGGCATGTTCTATTTCACAATAAAAAAAAGATTTCAAAAAGACAAATGAGTTATTACCAACTTGAGAATTTCCACCATGAATAAAAACTTAAAGGCTTGATGGTGGGCCTGAAACTGCAGTGCCCATTGCTAAGCAGTTTTTCGAGTTTTTTGTTTTTTGCTTTTTTTTGCGTGTGTTCTTTTTGGTGCATGAAAGGTCAACTTTAGAAAAACAAATGATAGCCTCTTTTTTTTACATTCAAAATAAAAACAAATTTAGTAAGTCACATGGAAAAGATGTATTTTTAGACTTTCACTATATTGAATAGAAAATGTCAATTAAAAAAAAACTGATCCTGTTTCTGTAGTCATGCATATATTACTTGTTATGTGGGCATAATTGGAAGTAAGAAGCACAGAAGGCCCTTCCTACTCTCTCATTCCAGACTTTGTCATAGCCTAGTACTTCATACCCTATCTACACATTATAATTGTTAGGGAACTACTAGAACTATTGTTTTCAATGATGCCTGAATCATATTCATAAACACACACACACACACTTAAAGCTTTCTGGGAGGTTCTAATGTACAGCCAAGATTAAGAATCACTAAAGCTCCTGGGGCGCCTGGATGGTTCAGTCAGTTATGGGTCTGCCATCTACTCAGGTCATGATCCCAGGGTTTAAGGATCGGATCGAGTCCTACGTCAAGCTCCTTGCTCCACAGGGAGCCTGCTTCTCCCTCTCCCCCCGCTTGCGGCTCCCCCTGCTTATGCTCTCTTTCTCTCTCTGTCAAATAAATAAATAAAATCTTTACAAAATTTTTTTTTTAAATCACTAAAGCTCTTTAAAATTCACGTGACATATTTTATCCTCAAAACAATAATGCTAAAATGGCATCCCCACCACAAGATGGGCAAACCATAGCTCAGAGAGGCAAAGTGATTTGCCCAAAAGTCACACATCAAATAGATGGCAGAGTTTGAACTAACATTCACTTATTCCATCCAACCACACATTTGCTCCAAATGCTAAGTGCCTACTGTGGGACAAGTATTGTGTCAGGCAATACAGAGAGAGAGAAGATCTAAATGTAGCCCTCGGCTCTATGATACTCCGCGTGGAGGCTCCCTCACTCTCTGACCGGCCTGGGCAGCACAGGGAGTTGGTTAGCCCAGCAGTCGACAGTTTTCTAAAAGGGCTAATTTCCAGGACTCTGGCTGCACTGATGTCTAAAAGCCGTTGACTGCTCGGGCATCGGTTCCTGCACACCACTGACCCCTCTTTGGACCCACTATCAATCCTTGTCTTGTTATCCCCTGGTGGCCTGTTCTACCTAAGCACACTTGCTGGGAAAGTACAAAAGGCTGTTTGAAATGAAATTGGATCAAAGGCACTACTGGGAACCAGGCGGGTGCGGGGGGGCCCACGGGTGGGGGGGCGGGGGGGCCGCAGTCGGGGGGAGGGAATGCATGCAACACTGGCCTAAGCCTCTCCTGGTTGAAGACAACTACTATCTAATTTATTTCCTTAAAACCTGGATTTATAATATTGGTGTTCTCTATAAATCAATTTACTAGGTAGAGGAATGTAAGAGTATGAAAGGAAGTACGTTGGAGACTAGCTTCTAACGCAGATTCCGAAGAAGGGTTCATGTTCCCATTACTAAAACAGAATTGCTGGAGCAAGAAATGTGGTCAGGAGGCAAAGCAGAGCTGGCGATGAAACTCATCAGAACACTTCTGAAAATGTTATGAGGATTGGTGATCACAGTAAAGAGACTTAAAAGACCCGATTTAGGACACTTTTACAGAACGTCACCATAAAAGAGTAACATAAATGTTTCTAGCCATGCAAGAATCCGGGAAATAAAACAACCTTTATTGCAATATCTTCGGTCTCTACAGGACGTAGACGCTGGGTGGATTGCTCACAGCTGTCCAGGTGATATCTTCCAGGCTGCTTCCTGTTTATAGTTTTCGGCTGCTGCATTCCAAATGGAAAAAAACACAAGTTGAAGCTTTATGAAAAAAAAAAAAAAGATGTTTTACTGAACATTAACTCATATTGTTACTTCTCCACTTGAAATTCCAAGAAAAAGAAAGAAGCAAAGTGAATGTGATATTTTAATTCTTTCGATGGCTTCTCCAAAAAAAAAAAAAAAAAAAAAAGCAAATAATAACAAAAAGCCTTAAGCTATCATTTTAAACCTAATTCACAAGCCTTTTAAGAAAAATGAAAATACAAAGATGTGGTACTTGCAACAGATGGAATTGAAAGTGCAGAGCCCCAAACTAGGTTTTGGATATTCCTCCTATAGCTCTCCCGATAAATATACTCAGGCAGTAAAAAACAGCACGTATGTCAAAAGACAAGCAGACTAACTCAGATTAAACTAGAATCTACTTGGGAAGCCACTGAGCTTGTAAATGTTCCAACAGTACATTTTGATCACCCTTTGAATCGTGAGGATTTTGAATCTCACACATTCACAGAACTCAGATTGGGCTACACATCACCCAAGGATCCACTGTGGAGTGAGAAAAAGCATAAGGATATCAGATTTTCTTTGGTCCAAATATGTATATATATTATTTCATAAGTATATAAACATATAATGCTGATGTAAGTATAATAAAATGATCTAGTCTTTCTCAAATGTTATAGCATTGTTCCTGGTCAAAGGACTAAAGCATCCATTATAAAGAGGATGTTAGCTGAAGTTTGACAGTTTTCTCATACTTAAAAGGAACTTAAGTTAGGTCATAGAAATAGAAATTTGTTATTCTCTAAATTTGACTTCAATGTCATGCAGTAGAGACAGATGACTAAAGAGAAGGTAGAAAATTCAGCTCTGTAAACCTCTAATATAGAAAAATTCATAATCTCGAAATTTGTGCAAGGAATCTAGTGAACAAGTGTTTCAACAAAAATAATTATCTGTCTTACTTAAATACCTTATAGATTTTATGAAGGCTAAGTAATAATATACTTTAAAACTGTTAAATTACCTATAAAAGCAAAGTATTCTAGAACTGTGAAACTTTTTTTTTCTTTTGGCCTGGAATTGCAGGTTTAGCTTTTTGAAAAATCCACTGAATTCTACTATGGGAATTAGAAATGTACTCAAATAATCAGTAATTTAATCCAAACAAGATATTGCTTTTCCAAATTCCATCAATTGTTATATCAACAGAACACCAAATTATCAAATAGTACATTGCTAGGCTACGTGCAAATAAATACACAGATTAAAAAGGTGCTGAGAAGAACTAGCAGTGGTTCTGTCGCATAGAAAATATTGAATGCATTTTAACTTTAAAAAAAAATAGAGAGAGTGTTCCTGAAATTTTAGTTCTGTTTTTCTTTTCACAATGTCACAGATGACCCTGGAAGTATGTTGCATGAGATGTGGAAAGTTGGTATCCTTCAAGCTAAGTGTATCTTCCTCACAAGATGGGTCTATGTCTTTACATAAATCCTCTGTCTTCTAGAGTCTTTAATTCTATAGTACTATTGCCCCAGAGGTCTAAAAGGAATGACGTCATGTTCTTCACAAAACTAATAAGAGGGTTGGAGAAGGAGATGTGTTGACAGAGATTTGAGTCGGAGTTCCACAGATGTAATTTGAAGAGACTTTGGCTCTAGAATGTCACTAATTCTCCATGGAGATTCTACAGCCAAAACCACTTAACTCTAAGCTTTTACAGAATACATAGCATCTTAAGCTCTCAAGAAGTTTCCATTAGTGTTATTTTCAAACACACAGCTTTTTTCATTCCATTTTAAAAAGTTTGTCGTTTGTGGTTTGGCCCATCAGCAGTGATGAATGACCCTGAAAGACATCAGAAGTCCAGTCTGGTTTCAATAACCCTGAAGATATTGAATACATTCGAAGAGGATTCTTTTTTCCTTCCAAAAACCTTTTCTCAGTTCAATTTTTCTTCTATCCCTCATCTCATACAAAAGGTTCTTCAGATTTCCCTAACTCCACAAACTTGACCTCCTACATCCTCATTCTTGAGGTCATCCACTCTGCTCATCCCCACATCTCTGAAAGATGACCTCATAAATTCTTTGGTAATCTCTTATAATCCAAAGGATGACAACACTGGTTTTAATCAAGTACTTGACCTTCCTGCTGCCTCAAAGTATAGACACTCTATAATGTATTCTTGACTTTGTGTCCATGTCCACACAATAGCAAACTAGCACTTTGAGGCATGGTTACTCCAGTGTATACATGCATGGGTGGTATCTCCTTCTCAGCCAAAATCACACTGGCTCAATAAAATAACAAAAAAGTAAAGTAAAACTCCAGAAAAGCAGAAGAAAACAGCAAATCTAAATATAGTTGAGTGCTCATCTCAACTATTTTTAGCAGTTTTAGACATGATGTAGAGAAAAATTTAATATAGATTGACTTCCTGGAAGACTTTCCAAGCCTCAATTAATTCCAGTCAGAAGATTGCATGTGTAATTTTGTTTGGGTATGAAAATAGTAAATATATTCATATTTTTGTCTGATATTAACACAAATAACTAATACTAATTATAACATGACCCACTTTAGAATAGTATCTTTCTATTTTATTGTTATGAAACATACATATTAATTTTAAAGACTTCTTTCAGAATTTTTCAGACACACCTTTCAAAAAAGTGATGTGATCCAGTCTCATTAATTTAAATATCTAATGGCTAATGACTCTTAAACTTACATCTCCAATGCTGACTTCTCTTCTTAGATGTCAATGAATATCTCAAAATTGTCATGTGCAAATATACCTCTTGATTCTACCTCAACACCAGTCCACTCACATCTTAGTCTCCCTATCCAGTCTATCAGCAAGTCTTTATCAACTCAACCAAAAAAAAAGTACACTGAATTAGATTACTTTCTCATAATGTCCACTGCAACTGTCACAAAAACTAATTCTAACCATCGTCATTTCTTGCCTATGTTATTGTAATAATCTTCTTACTGATCTATCTGTTCTACCCTTGTTCCCACTGATTACTCAGCCCAGTAGTAAAAGTGATCTTTTAAAATATAACCAAAATTGGGGAGCCTGGGTGGCTCAGTCGTTAAACATCCAACTCTTGATCTCAGCTCAGGTCTTGATCTCAGGGTCCCAAGTTCAAGCTTCACGGATAGATAGATAGATAGATAGATAGATAGATAGATAACCAAAATTCTATCAGTCCCTGCTTTAAAACCCTCCTATGGTTTCCTATTGCATGTCAATACAATCCAGACCCTCAATCCTTGTTCTTACCTTGTCTTATCTCTCCACTCTTCACCAGGCTTCAACCAAAGTGTTTCTCTGTTCCTTGAGCACACCAAATTCATTCCCACCTCAGGGTCTTTGCATCTCCTGGTTCTCTGCTTGAAATGCTTTCTTCCCCCAATCTTTGCTGAACAGGTATGTACTCTTCATTCAGGTCTCAGCCCAAATGCCAGCTCTTCAGAGGGGGCCTTTCTGGGAAATGATCACCCAGCTTCCAGTATCCCAGTCACTCTCTCATACCCCTATTTTATTTTCTTCTCAAAGGAAATTATCTCACTTTTTAAAACTTGTTTATCATCTGACTCCTACCTTAAAAAAGCTAACTGTGACAAAGAGGAGCTTGTTTGCCTTGTTCATAGCTTATCCCTGAAGTGCAGAGTAGCCAATAAGTTTAGAAACACAGGCAAATATATGGTCCATGTCATATTACATGTAATACATGACAAAATAATATTGAACATGTTTCCAGGATGTATGTAGATATTGAGTAAATATTTGGGTAATGGATGAATAAACTGGAACAGGAGTTATAAGACTCAGGTTTTAATTCTGGCTCTGCTGCTTACTAAGTTTATGACTTTATTTAAGCCACAAAATACACAGACTCAATATATTCAGTTGGAAGATAAAAATAAGGTGATATAATGTTATATTAAGTGAATCAAAAGATATAATGCATCAAAAGCACTTTTTAAACTAAAAAGTATAATACAGCTAAGAAGTATTAAAAGAATATGGTGTGGGAGTTGTTAAGCTTATTTAGCATTATTTTCATATAAAGTTTGGGGCAGACAACCTTTTAACTTTTTTTTCAATTGAACATGTGCTGTCCCTCTTGGAATAATTCTTTGATGATTCCTAATGACAAACCTTATACAACTGTTTATGAATTTTAGACTATTGAAGTTTTTGTAGAAGCAGGTGGCAATTTTTTACATAGGTTAAAAGTGGAGCTTACAATTTCTTCTAATTGCACTCATTTACAATCATCAAATCTTGGAGCTGTTACCTATTCACAGCTTCAATAATAAGAAAAAACACTTACCACTCCAGTGTGTTTCTTACAGGACTCAAAAGGAAGAGAACCTTCACCAGTTCGCCAGCTATCCTCACCAATCTCATCACTCAAGAGAAACTCATTCAGCTTTTGAACACTGCAAAAACCAACCAAACAAAAAAGGGGTTAAAAATAAAGCCACCAACAATGAAGTTCTACTAAAATAAACAAGCATTTCCCTCACTCATTATCATGTTGAGCAAGCCACCTCTGAGAGTCATTTCTCAAGACCAACTGGGAATTCAGCTCTGAGGAACAAGCATCCTAACTAAATTGCCCAAGAATGATGGACTCCCAGGACCTGGGACTTTCAGTGCTAAAACTAGAATTGTCTCAGGAAAACCAGGAACAATTTGTCACCCCTTGAATGCAGCCAGATTTTTTTGCACTTTTTTTTTTTTTTTTTTTTTTTTTTTGCAATTATGTCTTCTTGTCAAAGACAGTAGAGTTGAGAAGGAATTTGAAACAGAGTGGTTAAAAATAATAATGCCAATGAGGGAAGTATCCATTATTCTAATTTTACAAATGAGGGGAAATAAGTTATAGAGAAGCTACATAGCCTGCTTAAAAGCATTTAGCATATAACACACAACTCTGGGTCCATGACCATTCTGCTATCTTGCTTAAGCACTATACACTACACATATTTTCTGAACCTGGCAAGAAGACGGGCCTCTACAGAGTTGCTGTTCGGTGTTGACAAAGGACCAACAGCATCAGCGTCACCTGGAGCTTACCAGAGACTCTCAGGCCCCACCCAAACCCTACTAAGTCAAAATGTTCATTTTCACAAGATCCAGAAATGCTTCATAAACACATTACCGTTTGAGAAGCCTGGCTCTAGAAGAGTGGTTTGCAAACATCCTTTATTATGGTCTCCTTGGGCAGGGCACAAGACTCCTTGGCCCACCTACCCCTCCTATTCTAACTTTTTCAAACCAATTATAGAATCAAGAGCAAAAAGAAAAAACCAAGGAAACAACAACATGATTTGAAAACATCCTCCTATAAATAGAATAATATGCTAAAGGAAGTTGCAAAAGAAATGCTCCTTTTAGCATCCTAGGATGCTGAAGGTGAACAAACTAGATTGGCTCATGCAGCATCAACCACAGGGGATACATTGCCTGTGGTAGGAAACTAGAAAATAAAGATTTGAAACAAAAAATTTCTTTATATTTTTTTTCATTTGAACTTGTAGTCAAGTTAAGTGCCTCCAAAAAGGTCTACAAAGCTTTTTTTGTGTGTGCATATGTTTGTAGTGTGTGTGTGTGTGTGTGTGTGCGACAGACTAATAAAATGAAGAAAAGTAGTAACTCAGTCTCTTGCCTATTATCTTTAAGCCTGGTGGCCTCGCATGCCATAGAAACTGCTTCTTTTTATTGGAAACAGAAAGGTGAATAAATTCCGGCACTCTAATTATTAGCTTCCAAACTGCATTTACAGAGAACTAAAAAAGATAATTGTTTAAGAAGAATTTTGGTTGAATAATACTTCATATGTATACACTACATTTTATTTATTTATTTATTCATCCACTGATGGATATTTGGGTTGTTTCCACTTTTTGGCTACTGTGAATAATGCTGCTATGAGCCTGGGTGTACAAATATCTATCCAAGTTCCTGCCGCTTTGAATTTTTTTGGGAGGGGTATATCCAGAAGTGGAACAGCTACACCAAATGCTAATTCTACGTTGAATTTTTTGAGAAACCACCATACTGTTTTCAACAGCACCTGCACCAGGGTTCTGCGATTCCTGATACAATATAATAGAGTTATAACATGGATGAACCTTGAAGACATTATGCTAAGTAAATAAACCAGGCACAACCCCCCCACACACACCCCAGCAAATAGCATATGAGTCTACCTACATGAGGTATCTAGAAGAGTCAAATTCATAGAGACTGAAAGTCAGTGGTGGTTTCCAGGGGCTGGTAGGAGAGGCAATTGTTATTGATTAATGAATATAGATTCTAATTTGAGGAGATGAAGAGGTTCCAGAATGGATTGTGGTGATGGTTGCATGGTTGCACAGCAATGTGCATGTACTTAATGTGACTGAACTATACACATAAAATGGCTTAAATGGCAAATTTTATGTTATGTATGTTTTACTGCTATTTAAAAAAGAATTTTAGACTCCTCAAAAAAAAAAGAAAGAAAGAAAGAAAAGCTTCAGTTTGTGTACTTTCTTTGAGTCTTTGTCAGCAAACACTGACCATATAGACTGGAAAGCCAACATTAGAAATGCCTTATGAAATGGCCATTTATTTATCTTAAATGACAGGTATTTATTCTTTACTTTTTTAAATTTTATTTTATTATGTTATGTTAATCACCATAGATTACATCATTAGTTTTTTTTGTTTTGTTTTGTTTTTTAAGATTTTATTTATTTATTTGAGAGAGAGAGAATGAGAGAGAGAGAACACCTGAGAGGGGATAGGGTCAGAGGACGAAGCAGACTCCCTGCTGAGCAGGAAGCCCGATGCGGGACTCGATCCCGGGACTCCAGGATCATGACCTGAGCCGAAGGCAGTCGCTCAACCAACTGAGCCACCCAGGCGCCCTACATCATTAGTTTTTGATGTAGTGTTCCATGATCCATTGTTTGCGTATAACACCCAGTGCTCCAAATTGAGGTATAATTGACATATATTAGTTTCAGGTGTACAACATAATGATTCAGTATTTGTATATATTGCAACCTGATCAGCACAATAAGTCTAGCTAACACTGTTACCATACAGAGTTAGAATTGTTTTTCTTGGAATAGGAATGTCTAAGATCTACCTCAAAAGTAGTAGTGAAAGATCTTCTTTACCTTTATAGATTTTAGTGGTCATTCTGTTCTTGTATTTTGAAGAGTGGATTTTAAGGAACACAGCTTTGTCATTCTAAGGAATACCTTTTAAACAATCTCATACTATGTCTTTGCACACGAAGGGAAGTCCAGTGGTCAGGCTCTTTTGCCTTTCTAACTCTATATCTAGCTGCTCCTGGCACATATTACTCAATGAATGTTTGCTGAATAAATCAAAGAAGGAATAAACCAATGACTCAGACATTTAAATAAAGTCAGTTGATTCAGTTCTCCATTTCACTTTTCTAATACACACACAAATCTTACTGAAGCTTTTATGGAATTAATGAGCCCCATTCTTGCTAAACATCAGGAAGCAATGGTCTCTGAGCATAACTGGGGCACAGAGAGAACTTTTTTCCTCTCTATAACATCCCACTTTGGAACTCCAATTACAAGGACTATTGGAGGACCCCAAGATGAATACTTCCCTGAACCTCCTCTTCCTTTCCCTTCCCCTGCCCTCATCATTCTAGGCTGAGGGTCCCTGGCAGTGCTATTTTGTCATTTTTTGTTACTATCTCTCCCGTTACACTGTGAACTCCTTAAGAGCAAAGATTTTCATCTTCAGAATCTAGCCAATGTCAAAAATACAACATAGTAATTTCTCAAGAAATGTCTGGTGAATGAATAAATGGGTAATACAAAAAGCATTTCCAATTCATATAAGGTCCTTTCAGAAATCACTGAGGCAGAGCAATTATGGAAAATGCATGAACCCTGACCAAGGGTGAAGTAATTTCCACCATGCTGCCAGGGTTATATATTAAAAATCCAAATCTGTTTATGCAGCATTCCTCTCCTTAAAATAACAAATGGCACCCCTTTGCCTTCCGCATCCTTAGCATCATTTCCAGGCTGCTCAGGATTTTACTCTCCAGCTTCATCCCCTTCCACCTTCCACATCAGAACCTGTCACCAATTACACTCAACTATGTTTAGTCCCCTAAATGTACCAAGAGCTCTCACCTACTTACTCACCCTTTCCCCCCTGAATACATTGCTCTCTCCGCTTGAAAATGGTTTCCCTTTTTCTTCAACTGACCAAGTCCTACCTATTCTTTAAGATCTTATGAAGGAGCCACTAACTCTTTTAAATCTTCACTGATGGAACTGCTGCCTTCTCACTCAATGAACTTCAGTGACCCTCATATATGGGCCCATGGTATTCTGTGTAGAGCTCTGTAAATAACTTAACACACCATATTGTACTTAGTTTCCCCTCCTGGTCTCTCCAACTAGACTGCAGGTTCCCTGTGGATTTCATTCTACCTTTCATCTTTGCAATTCTTAATACTTTGTAATGTACCCAAAGTATTAACAAGTAAATGTAGACCCACAGAAGATACCTCTCTGAAGCACAGAATGGAGATTAATAAAATGGGAGTAAATTAGTAAAATGGAAATTGGTAAAGTATCTAAAATACTTAGGCAATGTGCCAGGCCCTGTTCATATACTATCTCATTTAATTGTTTCAATCACCATAAGCAGGAGCTATTATTGTGCTCATTTAATAAGTGAGGAAGCTGAGCTATAGAGACACAAAATGATGTGCTGGAGGTTGAACAATGAGTACTCTAAGGCCGTACGAGGATTTGACAGCAGATGTATTTGATACCAACCAATTTCCTAGCCTGCCTCCACCATCTTTTTGGTCAGTGTTTTACTAATTTCTCGTGTGTTTGGATAATTCATACCAGTCTTTAAGGTTTTAGCTACACATGTTATTTTTTCACTTTTCAAATTTCACTTTGGGTGTTTAGATAAAGCTTGAGTACCTTGGACAGGTGCTATTATGTTAATTGGGAATAAGTGACTCTGTTGCTGGCAATTATGTGCTTTTCTTGTAAGAACTATAACATCTTGTAAACAGGGACCAGAGGTTGAAGTACTCATGCTCTATGATAAATATCAATAACAATTTATTTGATCAAAGGTAACTGTCCTGGACTAGCCAAGCATACATTCCTTTGGGAGGTACATAAGGGAAAGGATAAAAAGTTATTTTCCAACAGAGCAAAGGATTGGTTTTACACATTTTACTCTTGGCATATAACATCTTTGGACATAGATATTGCATTATACATCAAATACCAGAAACCTTCACTGAAATTATTTGTATAAGAATAGAACATATCAACTTATATCTTCCTCCAGAAAAGCAAAAACACATATATTATTTCCTTACAAATAAAGCAAAGTGGAAAAATGAGGCAAGCATCTTGGAAAATCTTCTTACTCTGTATTTTAATATTTTAGATAATAGTGACTTTTCCTACTCCTCCTCATTTCGTGACTCCGTTTTTGCAAATGTAGACTGGAATACGATATCATAAAATGTCCAGAAAACTCAAACAGTGTGGAATGTAGGGTTGTAAGGAGATAACCTGAATCATATCTGCCTCTTTCTTCCCTTTTATTATGTATACCTGGGGTCCTGCCCATTGAGCACCATGAAGACCATTTTGGCTAACAAACTAAACATTTTTAAAAGAAAGTATAGAATTTTCATGTAGGAAATAATTTTACATAGCATGGAATTTTCCTACATTAGAGAAGTTTGTAAGTCTCTCTTTTTTTTTTTTAATTTTTTATTTATTTGCGAGAGAGAGAATGAGAGACAGAGAGCATGAGTGGGAGGAGGGTCAGAGGGAGAAGCAGACTCCCTGCCGAGCAGGGAGCCCGATGCGGGACTCGATCCCGGGACTCCAGGATCATGACCTGAGCCGAAGGCAGTCGCTAACCAACTGAGCCACCCAGGCACCCCAAGAAGTTTGTAAGTCTCTTACAGGCATGTGTAACGCAAGTTTGGGAGTATGTTGCACCCTCTTCTAGCCCACCAAATCTCTGAAGCAAAGAACTTATGACTTCCATGGTCCTGAAGAAGAGGTTTCAAAATCAGCTCACCAAAGTCTCCGATTATAAACAGGCTGCTCAGCTTGTTGTGGGCCAACTGGCATCAAAGACCTGCCATGGGTTCCCAGGCACAGAAGAAAATGCCAAACCCAGTCAATACTGGGAAAAAGCTCATTTGGGTTCCTAGAACCAGCACACGGTGGGGAAAAGGCCTGGCTCCTCTGTTGACCAGTCATCTCTGTAGGACCCACAAATCAACCACTGAGACTCATTTTAGAGAAGCAAGTCTTTATAAGCTGATTCTATTCAGCCTACGGCTTAGGAAATCGGGAGCTGAGCCCTGAAAACAGACTGGTCTTTATCAAACTGGCAAATGCCTTTCCCTGGAATGTAAACAAAAAAGAGTGCTATGCAGAAATATACAGTGAATATTATCCACTCTCAACTTCACCAGCTTTTATTGCAGCAGGATTGTATACTATGGAGTGGGAGGGCACGCCTAGGTTTTTTGGTGGGTTTGTTTTTTTTTCTGTTTTTTTTCTTTTTCACATAAACTCTTTAAGTCCTTTTGATGCTTGGTAACCCCCTGATTTCAGATAAGTTATTTGTTATAAGTCATCAACTAAATGTTTTTTATCCCCACTTGAGATACAAAGTCAAATTCCAATTAAAAATGAAACCATGAGAGGGACAGCTATGAAATGGAGAAAATGAAACTAAGGACCAAAATAGCAGACTTTGGCCATTCATCAATTTTATTGTTTGAAGTAGCTTCCCTTCCAGAGCACTGCCTAATTTGGAAGTGGCACTACGAAAATCAGTCCGTGTTCTGTACAACTGTTTCAAGAGGCAGAACAGTAAGAAAAGCAAAGGAGGCAGACGAGGCCAGAGAGTCTGTCCCTTAAACTCTGACAGCTCCAGAATTGGTTACCCGTGACAAAACCTACAGAACAGGGCTAAAATCATTTTGTGATACTATTATAACCAATCAGAACTTCAGTTTATAGTAAGATAATGCACATGCATCTTCCCGTTGTTTGGGACTGAGCCATTGTTAAACCAGTATAAATAATTGTCCAAAACTGAAGATTCTGGAATTTTAAATGTCAAATACTAGTTTTCTTCATAATACATAGCCATTGGGAAAACTATCTCATTTTAAAAGACCTTACAAGAAAAATTAATTAATTAATTAAAAAAAACAAAAGCCCTTACAAAAAAATATTCAACCTTGCTATCAGTGGCAACACCAGGCTTCATGTATTTAAGGCCTCTGTTTTCCAGTTTTCCTTAGTATTGTAACATCTTGACATTTCTTTCAAAGGCCAGCTGTGATAATGACTGCTTATGAAACATGCTGGGTTTTTATGAAGTTTATGAGATCTTATAAGCGAAATACTACTTGAAGACTTCTCTGTTCATAATAGAGTATCAGACACAGTAGACTGTGGCACATACAGCATTATATAATATAGTATAATAAAGTTTGGTAGCATACTTATTTATATAGCACAAGAAAAGTGGTGGGAAAATGGTCATTATCATATCACATCTACTTTTATTGTTGTGCATTGCAGGAAACTATAAGTCTGAGACAAAGTATACACTGGTTAAAAAAAACAAGAGAAGCGTATTTAAAATGAGCAAAATGTGGAAGGGTTTTGCAAAGTCTTTCCATTGGCAGAAGCCATGACCCTTACTTAAATTTTTTCCCTGTTAAATTAAAATTAAAACAGTAAATATGTGTTGATGGGAACATTGCCCATCACTATAACTGCAAAGATAAACTGAACAGCTTTACTGGAAAATATTATGGCCATTTTCATTTAAAAAATATTAAAAATGGGGGAGACTGGGTGGCTCAGTCATTAAGTGTCCGACTCTTGGTTTCAGCTCATGTCGTGATCCTGTCATGGGATCAAGCCCCACACAGGGCTCTGCACTCAGTGCAGAGTCTGTTTCAAATTCTCTCTCCTTCTCCCTCTCAAATTAATAAATAAAATCTTTAAAAAATTTTTTTAAATGTGTACAATTTTTGACCTACCACTCTTTAAAAGCAACATAGCAATATTCATTAAGAACCTTAAAAATGAATCATGGAACACTACATCAAAAACTAATGATGTAATGTATGGTGATTAACATAACATAATAAAATTTTTAAAAAAAGAGGTAATCCCAGGAGAAAAAAAAAAGAACCTTAAAAATGTGCGTACCATTCATACAACTGAACACCAAAGAAACCCCAAATAATCTAATTAAGAAATGGGCAGAAGACATGAATAGACATTTCACCAAAGAAAACCTACAGATGGCCAAACAGACACATGAAAAGATGCTCAACATCACTAATCATCAAGGAAATGTGAATCAAAACTACCATGCGATATCACCTTATACCTGTCAGAATGGCTAAGATCAAAAACACAAGAAACAACGAGTGTTGGCCAGGATGTGGAGAAAAAGGAATCTTCATACACTGTTGGTAGAAATGCAAATTGGTGCAGCCATTGTGGAAGACAGTATGGAGGTTCCTCAAAAAATTAAAAATAGAACTACCCTACAATCCAGTAATCCCACTACTGGGTATTTACCCAAAGAATGCAAAAACACTAATTCGAAAAGATATATGTGCCCCTATGTTTATTGCAGCATTATTTATAATAGCCAAATGATGGAAACAACCCAAGTATCCATCAACAGATGAATCGATAAAGAAGATAAAGATACACACACACACACACACACGAATATTACTCAGCCATAGAAAAGAATGAAATCTTGCCATCTGCAACAACATAGTTGGAGCTAGAGAGTATAATGCTAAGTGAAATAAGTCAGTCACAGAAAGAGAAATACCATATAATTTCACTCACATGTGGAAATTAAGAAACAAAACAAATGAACAAAGGGGGAAATAAGAGACAAACCAAGAAACACTCAACTCTAGAAAACAAACTGATAGTTACCTGAGGGGAGATGGGTGGGGGGGATAGATGAGATAGGTGAAAGAGGTTAAGAGTACACTTATCTTGATTAGCACTGAGTAATGTATGGAATTGTTGGATCATTGTATTTTATACCTGAAACTAATATAACACTGTATGTTAACTATAATTGAGTTAAAATAAAAACTTAATAAAAATTTTTAAATGTGGATACTGTTAGAACTAGTATCCCTACTTCCAGAAATCTGTCTTAAGAAAACAATCAGAGAAAAGTTTAAAGATATAAAAAGATGTTTATATCAATGTTATTTATGTTGGGTAGAAAGTAGAAAAGCTCTAAGTGCCCAATAAGGAGGGAATCATTAAATTAACTTACAGTACTTCAAAACTATGGACTATTGTATAACCAATAAACATCCTGATCTTAATGAGGGGAAAAAATAAAAACAAAAAGTGAAATAAGGAGTCAAAAGCTACATAAACTCAAAATTTTTATTTCAGAATAATAGTTATTTTCATTTAAAAATAATTGTAAAAGACTGAAAAGTAGCATATTCAAATTTTAACAACGGTTATCTTGGGCAGTGATTTGAATGTTCTCTTTTATACTTTTTCAAATTGACTACCACCAGCATATATTATTTCTATAATCAAGCAAAGAATTCCAGACATTCCAGGGCATACCTTATGATGGCTTTGACTGCAAATCTGACCACTGTGGAGAGCAGGAACAGCGGGGTGACCAGGATATGAAAGAGAGACAGGGAAGCAAAGGCCTCTGCAGGTTTTAGATTGTTCCCACTAGCATACGCATGGGTCACGAATGTCTGCACAAAGAGAGAAGTTCTTTAGAACAAGCTGGAGAAAATTTCACAAATGCTTACATTCAATTTTACAAACCTAACCTATTTTGCTATGCCAGTATGTCCATCCCAACTCTGAAAACAATTACTTCACCCAAATTACTCCCTAACAAAAAGACTTCTTATTGATAGTCCTTAATGGTTTACATACCATCCTAGCAGTGAACTTGTGAGAAGGGCAGAGCAGATTCTATTTACAGATTAGGAAATGGACTTCTGTCAAATTACTGAGTAGGGGCATAACTGTGAAGTGAACCCAGATTTCTTTTTTTTTTTTTTTTTTTAAATGCTGGCTTTGAAGCATTTTTAGATTTTTTTTTTTTTTTTTGAGAGAGAGAGAGACTGAGAGAGAGAGCACATGAGAGGGAGGAGGGTCAGAGGGAGAAGCAGACCCCCCCGCTGAGCAGGGAGCCCGATGCGGGACTCGATCCCGGGACTCCAGGATCATGACCTGAGCCGAAGGCAGTCGCTCAACCAACTGAGCCACCCAGGCGCCCCTGAACCCAGAGTTCTTAACAACCAATCAGGTTCTTTCCAACCAATACTAAATTTTCTAAGAGAAAAAGATGTTCCATTGTTTTAGGGTCCCTATTGTGGATCTTTACTAAATTTGCCAACATTAGTGTTCGATGCAGACTTATTTATGATTCTAAATGCAATCCTAGTTTGTCATTTTAGTTTGAAATGTAATGTACTTTTCTGGTTGTTGATCTAACACTATATTGATGTAAGAACGTCTGAGAACCAGGTCATGAAGATTACAACAGTTAGTTCTCAACTACTACTCATTTTGCTCCCCAGGGCACACTTGGCAATGTCTGAGGAGTGCAAGCGACATCTAATAGGTAGAAGCCAGGGAGGCTGCTTCACATCCTCATGCAGAGAAAAGGCCCTACCAACACAGAATTATCTGGGCCAAAAAGTCTATAGTGTCACCGTGAAGAAACCCTGGATTAGGACTATTAAAATAGGGACTGCAAGAGAAAACTGGCAGAAGTGAAGTAATATATATTACCACCCACACATTCTTGCTCATAAATCATTTCTAAACACTGACTTAGTTCCATTTCTAAAAGCAAGAGAAAGTTTCTTACAGCAAGAACAGCTGCTATGGGAATTGCTGCGTTCATGAAGACTGTGGAAAGAAATCAAATACATTAGGTTCATTGAACTGTGAAACATTTTCAGTAACTTTAATTAATCATCTATTATTACTTTAACTTCCCTTAAAGACAGAGAGGACCGAGTGCATTAAATAACATTTTATCCGGAGTCCACAAACATTGCTCTGTTGGTATTTCCTTGTTTAAAGTCGTATGAGTTCCCCCATATTAGTCTGAATCCAAAAATATTTTTTTAAACAGGGTTTTTTTTTTAAGATTTTAGTTATTTAGAGTGAGAGAGCATGAGAGAGAGAGAGAGAGTGAGCATGAGCGGTGTGAGAAGTAGAGGGAGAAGCAGACTCCCTGCTGAGCAGGGAGCCCAATGCGGGGCTCAATCCCAGGACTCTGGGATCATGACCTGAGCCGAAGGCAGACGCTCAATCGACTGAGCCACCCAGGAGCCCCAGAAAATACTATTTCTTATGGAAAAATTATTTTTTATGAACTGTTATAAACTGCAAAATTCAGATGAAATATTCCTTTAATGATACAAATAATTAGAATCCAACCAAATGTGCCTTCTTGAGAGTATTTATTTCCAGTCTATATTTCACTTGGTCCACCAAGCTAACTTAAATATATGAAAACTGAGTTATTATGCAGCATAAAAACAAGAATTTGACATCACTTCAAGTTCTCCTTCCAAAAGTGATATTTATTTTCAGTTATAGGCCTTTTGCTTAACAAAATAACTCCATTTCTTAAACCCTCTGCTTGTTTGAACATCTCTTCAGGAACATATTGCACTCACATTTGGTGAGCATGATATGTACAAATGAAACAAGGAAAACTCATTTTTTAAGCTAAAATGCTAGCATTTGGAGGTCATAGTAAAATTAAAAAGCCAAGTTGATGATTTGTAGTTATATTTTTCATAAACTATAGAATTCTAGGGACTGAGGAGTAAAAGAGTAAGTGAATTGGTAACAGAGTGAAAGCTAGAACCTGCTTTTTTTGACATGCAGGAGTGAATCAAATTCAGTCCTCATGACCACTGTACACAAAATCATATTGTGCTTTTGCAGGTCCAGATGTGGCTTGGTTATCAAATCCGAATTCTTGTACAAGACTGAGAATCCAAACACTGCCCTGAGGTTCATAACAGCACAGATGAGGAGCTACGTTTTTGCCTCCATCTTCTTTCTCTGGCTATTGTCACCCTGTTCTTTAAGTGTTTTTCTTTCTTTTCCCCTCATCATTGTTAATCATTCATTTCATAGTACACTCCTTTGAATAGGTAATATCCCCTTGATGAGGAAGACCAAGAATAACTGCTATTTGATTGAAAACCATTTATACAGCAATCTGCACCAGGTACATGTAGTAGGTACTTTTCCTATCCCATTACAAAGATGAGAACGAGAAGCTTCAGGTCACACAGCTGGGATTCAAACCAATGCAGTCAGGCCTCTCAGACTGCTCGCCACCACCTTGCTCTGCATTAGCATGTCACAAGCATTGAGGTATGATAAGAGTGCTTTACATACATTCTCATATTTAATGACCATAACTACCCTATACAATAATGAGGAAGTAGCTTAAGAAGGATAACATGCAAGATTCCAAACTAGGAAGTGATAGAGCTTGGATTTAAATCCAGATCTTTCTGGTCTCAAACTGTATGTTCTTGGGGTGCCTGGGTGGCTCAGTCGGTTAAACGTCTGCCTTCGGCTCAGGTCATGATCCCGGGGTCCTGGGATCGAGCCCCACATCAGGCTTCCTGCTCAGTGGGGAGTCTGCTTCTCTTTCCCTCTGCCCCTCCCCCTGCTTGTGCTCTCTCTCAAATAAATAAATAAATAATTTTTTTAAAAGCTATATGTTCTTTTCACTTCTCCATATAAGACTCTATCAAAGTGAAGAGAAAAAAACACAGTACTGTCTTTTTGCCTTTTACCAATGGATTAAATCCATAAATAGCACAAGACCATTTAGCAACAGAAACTAGGAAATTAATAGAATTTCTCTTCCCCCCAGATATTATCTCAACTGGCAAGAACACTGATTCATAAAAGCAGAGATGAATCTTCAGTTCTACTAGTAAGTGTCCTGTTTAACTTTGCTTTTCAATATTTTCAGATACCACTGATTGAGCACTTTTATGTTTCAGGTACTTTTCTAAACACTTTACACACATTATCTTATTTAATTCCCGAAGACACTCTTAATACTTCCCAGCTTCCTGATGAGAAAACTGAAACTCCTCCAAATACTAACTAAGGCTGTAGAGCTGACAAGGTGCTGAGACAGGATATCATTTCAGGTCAGCTTACCCTCTAAGACTCAGTAGTAACCACTCTGTTATACAGCCGACTTTTTCCTTTCATTATTTTTTATTTTCTTGTGATGCTCTACAAATACTATTTATAAAATATATATATATTAATATATTATAATATTTTAAATATATATATATTTTTAAAGTAGGTTCCATGCCCAGCATGGAGTCCAATGCAATGCTTGAACTCATGACCCTGAAATTAAAACCTGAGCTGAGATCAAGGGTCAGACACCTAACCGACTAAACCACCCAGGCGCCCTTATTTATAAAATATTTTTAACAGTTACTGAACAGTGTCACATTCACTGCCTCATTTTATTCTCACAATATACCTGTGATAATAATTTATTATTATTACACTAATTTTTAAATGAGGAAACTGACGAATGGAGGTTAGAGGGCACGAAACCATTTACCAGGTGCTTTATATGAAATAATGAGTCCGAAGCACTTGGCATCGTGCCTGGAATAGAATCAACAATCCAATCAACATTTGTATCATTCATTATTTTAATCTTTACTACAGTCCTACAGGGTAGACATTATTATCACCTCATGTTACAAATGAAGAAATTGGGGCTTGGAGGATACAAGTAACTTGGTCAAGGCCACACTGCCAAAAAGGGGCAGAGCTGGGATTTATAGACAGCACTATGCAACTCCCATAGTTCAAGCTCTTAATCACTAAGAACACTGTACATAACCATATCATAAATCTTACAAGTGGTCCAACTGGGAATTTTACACCATTGACTCAAGAATTCCTGCTGCCTATCATAAACACATGACTCTGTATTTTTACCTTCATGATTTCTCGTTTTTCTCCCTTATTATGGCCTCCTCTGTCCTCTCCTCTTTTGTATCTGACTTTCAAAAACCAACCCAAATTTCATGTCTGTAGACAGACAAACTGGATTAACAACACACCTCTGCCATTTAGTAGGTGGATGATTTAAGGGAAGTTCAAGTTACTTAAGCTCTCTCTCCACCTCAATCTTTTAATATCTAAAATGGAATTAATAGTAGAATCTAAATCACTGAGATGTTGGGAGGATTAAACGGGATGATATGTGTAAAGCCACTTATGGCAATAATTGGCTGAGTATCTCAATATATTTTTATTGTCATTATTTCTGGCAGCATCCATCCTTCTCATGAGTATTTCAGTCCACTGCAGAGAGAAATATACATTCCTCTGTCAGGGTCACCAGATTATAGTACTATTACATAAACAAGTGGATATCAATCATTCCATCTTCTAGCATTTTGACACCATATTAGCAGTGGTGCAGAACTGGAAGATAAATCTCCTTCCCATTTCATTTCTAATGCATCAGGCATCAGGGCTAGAATAAATGAGCTATACAAACCAAATATTTTCTCTAAATCTATTTAACAAACAAGTAATTATAATCTCTAAGAACTAAAGTAGTTTAGAATTCAAGAGGAAACAATATATTAACCTCCAGAATTTTAATTTGTTCAGTCTTGGGAACAATAGAGATAAGCAAAACTGACACACGAACCAAATCAAATGTTAGTGGGAGTGGAGTGGCTAAGTCTCTAAGAATTGTACTAACATAAACTTAATTATTCTTGAGAGTACTCAGTGTCACTCTGAGGGAAAAACAACAATTTTTTTAACAGTTGCTTTATAAAAATTAGAATTGAGGATATAAGTGCTCCATATTTAAAAGTTCTTGAAAATGTATTGGAAAAGAGGGTTTTATGTGAATGAAACTTGACTTCTTTCACTCAGAAGTGTTGACATTTCTTCTTCTCAATTTTCAAAAATTTCATTTTAAGTATTGTCTTCAAGAAAATATAATATCATAAGCTCCCAGAGAGACAGGTAGACAACTACAGATAACTTCTGAGGATCTTTGGGGATAAGAAGGTCAATAATACTATAGTCAGATCAACTTAAGTAAACAAATTTTTACCGAAAACCCACTATTCATCCCAGTGGTAATTGATGTGATGGTTTCAATTACAGGTACTATGCTCATCACCATCCCCATTTTACAGATGAAGAAACCAAGGATTTCAGATGCAAAGTAACATGACAAAAGCACACATCTTAAAAGGAAACAAATTTATGTCTACCTGACTCTAAGCCTACACTAACCCTGCTCTTTAATTTAAATTTAAATAGGCTCATGTGGCTAATGGCTATTGGGCAGCACATATGTAGAAAATGAATGGGCTTCCTCAGATGAGTAGAATGTTTCAGGGATCACAACCTAAAGTGAATAGGCCACATGTTTTTTTGGTGGTCCTTAGAGCAATGGCAACTTACTGGAGAGTGATGTATAAAGTGCAAAGGTTTTGAGACTGGATAGTTCTTTCATTCTTGTTTCTTCTACACTTTTGCAAAAGATGTGCTCCCAGGCATATAACTTCAGAAGTTTGATGCCTTTCAATATTTCATTTGTTTTCTTCAGTCTCTCAGTAGAATAATCCTATAAAACAAAAATAAAAAAACAATGCACGCTGCATCCAAGTGAATCAAAGAGGCAGGACTATATATATAACAGACAGGGATGGGCCAGACCTTGATTTCTGCCTGGCCCTGCCACTGATTGTGGCTTTGAGAACCCTTGGGGGTGGGGGGCACGGGGGGAGGGGGGAAGAAGGCAAACTCTCTGTGTTTCCACCTCCAACTCTAAAATGAAGAGTTGAATGAAATGGCCTCAAATATCTTTCCACCTAAAAACTCTCATGATTCTGTTGCTTTAGGTTAAATAAAAGCAGTTTCTTAAAGTTTCACAATTTCCTTAAATAATGTCTGCAGATAGTGTGTATAGACATTTAGGGAAATGATACAGAGATTTCCAGTGGCTCCTCCTAACATCTAACTCATTCTCTCCTCAGCACTATCACTCGTAATTAGAAGAGAAAACAATGACTGTAAGAAAAGTCAGTTTGCCTCTTATTTGGGAATGTGAGGGTTGTTATATGTTCACATTGCGTGTGTTCATATTGTGTCTTCATAATACACTTACTGAAACCAAGGCTATTACCTTTAACTTCAAGAGATTTCTATATACTTCTTCATACGCTCTTGTTTAAGGCCTAACTTAGATTTACTCATTACTAAGAATTTGGATTAACTGTAAAAAGATTTTTACAAAAGCCACAATTTACTCAACTGCTACAAATTCCACCACCACCAAGTATTAGAATATCAGTAAGGTACATTATGACCTATGAACTATAAAAAGGAGCAGGGCAAGTGGCCAAAAGGCAGAGAGGAGGAAGCAAAAGTAGCAAATGGCTTGCGTTTTATTCATCTTCTGGTCTCTACAGGGTCTTAGATGCCTATCAAATGATTGTTGCATGAGTAAATGAATACAGTATGGCAAGCTCAATGAAAGACATGTTTGAGGATAGTCATGTCTCCACTTTGTAGAGTGGAGTACTCTGTATTCCTCTCTGTATTCACGTCCTGAAGTAAAGAGGGGTAGATGGCTCAGACAAAAAATAATGAGTAGCCTCACCTGGAGCAGCAGAAAAACAAGTGATGGAAACCACCTGCATGACAGGCAACTTGCTTGTCACAGCAGAAACCGACTTGGGGAACAATTTCATCAGTGGCAGCATTCCTACATTTTATGCCTAATTTACAGACATCCTTGCTCATATTTAATCAAACTTTATTTCTAAACATGAGGTCAACAATTTTATTATTTGCAAATATTTCTTTAAAAGAAGCCAATTCTTGGGCACCTGGGTGGCTCAGTTGGTTAAGCGACTGCCTTCGGCTCAGGTCATGATCCTGGAGTCCCTGGATCGAGTCCCGCATCGGGCTCCTTGCTCGGCGGGGAGTCTGCTTCTCCCTCTGACCCTCCTCCCTCTCATGCTCTCTGTATCTCATTCTCTCTGTCTCAAATAAATAAATAAAATCTTCAAAAAAAATAAAAAAAATAAAAGAAGCCAATTCTTGGGACACCTGGGTGGCTCAGTCGGTTAAGCGACTGCCTTCGGCCTGGGTCATGATCCCAGGGCCCTGGGATCGAGTCCCACATCGGGCTCCTTGCTCAGCAGGGAGCCACCTTCTCCCTCTCTCTCCCTCTCCTTGTGTTCTCTCTGTCACATAAATAAAATCTTTAAAATAAATAAATAAAGAAGCCAATTTTCACTCAAAAAAATGATTTCATGGTACGCTGAAGCCAGAAAGGTTAATAATTGGGCTTTTTCTTGCTTGCCAAGTTGACCACGAACATATTCAGCCAGAAGAGCTACCACTAAAATACTTGAGTATAACTCCATAGATCATCACATGGTTTGATTCAATTTGAGGGAAATTTAACTTCAGAAGCAACAAACCTGATGCTTTCTTTGTTCTTTGATCCATGTGTCCCATGTCAATAATTAACATCCAATGGGCTCAAATACACTTAGGTATATTCTCTAGACAAGTGATCTAGAAAAAGATCCAACGCCTCATCACCTCATGGCACTTAAAAACATCAGGAATTGTACCTCCGGTATTTTGAGTCTAAGATCATCAAATCATATGTTTCAAATCCACTTTTAAATAGTGGTTTTTTTTGCAACACAGAAAATACACATTTGCTGCCTAAGATTTGAAATGAAATATGATAATTTCCAAATTATTCTGAGTGGTATGTATTCATTTCCCATTATTTTAAAAATAAAACAGCTTACTAGATTTTTCCTAATCAAGTTTCCAAAAGATGTGAACTTACCAGAGTGCTTTTCTGAGCCTCTGCCAACTTTGTAGCGATGAAGTACTGAATTGGCGCAAGGAGTACAATGACGGCTGCACCAACCAATGCGCTTGATCCAAGTAAATTATAGAGCAGAATCACTCCCATTATGATCTAGAAAGGAAAACATACGGAAAAGGGAAAATGAACAGGGGTGTGGGGACCACTCAATGAGAGGAAATATATTTTGGTGGAAATGTACTACTTCTTCATTAGTAACTGATTAATAAATACATTTATTTGGAAGTCAACTCAATGAAGAACAGTTGGGTTTTCCTATGTTTTACTTGGGGAAAGCTAAGTAGTAGGAATTTATTTTTAGTCTGATGATCTGTACAACAGGTGTCAAACCAATTTACTGCATGAGGCTACAGACTGGTCCCCCGAAGCTTCTGACCTTCTAAGACAGTCTTCACATTTTTAAAAGGACATGAAATTTTTCTTGAAAATGTTATCGCCCACTGTAACTGACATTCTGTATTGTCATGGAATTCTACTAGCTTTTCCAGTCAGGAAGGATGGAAAGCAGGAGGCAGCACCATAATGTAAGTGAGTGCTGGATGGTTGTTTGCAGGCTAAAGGAATAATCTGAGCTCCTCACATCCTCAATGACCCCAAAAGTCACTTGACAACAAGAAGGCTTAGCTTAACTAAAACTGTGAGGAAGCTAAAGTTGGTGGTCCTCCATCACACCTCACTTCCCTTTTAATATTTATTTCCCCAAACCCAGGGCTGAGCCACATAAGCCAACCCTCTCTGGTTTGTCACTTTCTTCTTCTTCCTTTAAAAACTTAGGATTTGACCCCGCAATCTCTCTCCCTACTTTTTTTCCTCCAGTAGCTCAGTTTATCATGGCTAAAAATGTCAGCTAATGAACTATATCCATGTAGTTAAAGCATTTAATCTTTGTGTGTTTGCCAATGATAACAGCTTAACAGTGGCCTTCTGGAGGCAAGTGCACATATTTACTGCCTAGCCAATTAGGCTTTTGAGGGATTCCAATCAAAATGAAAGTTTCCTTAACATCACTCATGATGCAGTCATTCAGAGGCAGCCTGGGATTTTTGGTACATTTTAAATTATATCACGTAGGCAGCCACCTACTTGACCTGTATATAAGTACATATTGGTAAAATGAGACCAAGCATATTTTAAATCTTTCCTTGTGCCATGCACTGTGCATGATATACACTTTTATTTGACTTGGATTTCCATTTAAAACTAAAAAGGCAAACACATTTTAAAACTACCATATATTCTGTATTATTGTATGCATTTTAATAAACGTGGCACACAGGGACAAAAGTGACAGACTGGATTGAATAAGATCTACAGTTTAAGCTCTGTCTATAGGATGCAAACTCGAGGTAACCAAAAAATATTCAACATCACACAGAAGAAAGAACTGAAAATGTTTCTTTTGCTATTTTTACCCAATTAGGGGGGAAAAAACTGCATCTTTGCTAAAATGCTATTCTCCATTAAAAAAAAAAATAGCTAAATTTCCATCCAGCTTGTTAGTGTTCCTACCACCTAATAAAGTTTGACATTTTATAATACATCAGCTATTGAAACTATGGGATGGAATACAGCAATTGTTCTACTTTAGAAATGCTATAAGAGAGTCTGTTAAAATGAAAGGGGTCAAGCCTTGGCTCTGTGACTTGACTGAATTTGGTCAATAACAGTAACAACTAACAAATACTGGATGCCCATGAAATGCTAAGCATTATGCTGAATGTGTTACACATACTAACTTACTTAGTCTTGACAATTCCAACAGTTCTACGAGGCAGATACTATTATCATTCCCATTTTAAAGTTGAGGAAACGAATGTTTTGAGGATTTAAACACTCGTGCAAACAGGGTAGAGCAGATATTTGAACCTAAGCAGAATTCCAAACCCCACTTTCTTAACCTATGTCAGAGCATTTCTGAGACTCTGCTTTCTTCTATATAAAAACAGTATAATATCAGCATATTCAAAAAGTTTGCCCTTTACTGAGCTAAATACCTTATACTCCTCTTGTTTTGTTTCCTCTGCAAATGAGAATATTACTTATATTGATCTACCTGAACGGGCATTGCCCATAGATTGGGACACAGGAACAAGAACCACATGAGTTGATTGGTTTCAATGGCAACCAAGTTATTGATCTGTCCCAGGGTCATCTCACCCATGGATAAATTAGATGTAGATAGCCTAAGGATTTTATTGTATATCATGGCCTGCAAAAAATAAAAACAAAAAAAGTACTTGAAGCTCTACACTTAATCAACACTGTTTATTCACTTTTATTGAAAAGATAACATTTTAAATTTTCCTCGAGAAAAAGGGGGGGAAAAACCTAGAATGCCATCTTCTTAAGTCAACCACTATCTTCATTTTAGCATACTTTCAGTCCTCAATTACATACAAACTTATTTTCTTGTGATATAATCAAAATGCATATTCAATTTCAAACATAAGCTCTAGAACAAACTGAAACAGAGATAAATAAAAGAAAGTTTTCTTTCTTTCTTTTTTTTTTTTCAGTAGGCTCCACACCCAGCGTGGAGCCCATCCCAGGGCTTGAACTCACGACCCTGAGATCAAGACCTCAGCTGAGGTTAAAGAGTCAGATGCTTAATTGACTGAGCCACTCTGGTGCCCCAAAAGTTTTCTTACTATTACAAAAGGTTTTAAAAATTCAGTGGGTTTACTAATTAGCTGTTTTTTTAATTAAACAGCTTCTAGAAGTGTTGGAGTTGTAGTATCAAAGTAAAAACAGAATAGGGGCGCCTGGGTGGCTCAGTCGTTGAGCGTCTGCCTTCAGCTCAGGTCATGATCCCAGGGTCCTGGAATCGGGCCCCATATCGGGCTCCCTGCTCAGCGGGAGGCCTGCTTCTCCCTCGCCCACTCCCCCTGCTTGTGTTCCCTCTCTCGCTGTGTATCTCTCTGTCAACTAAATAAATAAAATCTTTAAAAAAAAAAAAAACAGAATGAAAAATAAAATTGACTCCACTACCCTTCTATCATCGGATGGTATATAGGCATTTTCAAAAAACAAAGATCATTCTAAGCTTGTACATACCAGCAGAGCTCCACGGAGGTTAATGCCAGTCTCTATGGTTACATAGTAGGAAGCTTGCAAAAATGTCCTTTGCAGGATAAGGGCCAAGAAAAGAAGAACTGCTAGTACATAAGCATTTTCAAGAAATTCCTTTGATGAAAGGGTTTCTGAAATCTTGCCCCAAAAGAAAAGGACATAAATTAAAGCTGGTCTTTTCATATGGCAGTGTATAGTTCACATCTATTAAATGATACATGATTTTTAAATATAAAAACTCAGTGTCTTTATAACAGCAGTGAAATGAGCCACAACAAGGCAATTTTGGCCTTTCCTCATCATGTCCACAGATACAGATTCAAACTAGTTCAATGCATAAAATCCCAAATTGATCATTAAGATTGCTGGAAATGCCTGATTGTAGAAAAAAGGTACATTTTAATTTTTTAAAAAATTGAGTATATCTTCCGCAAAGATATATTATTCCATCCTGAGAAGCAGTAACTGAAGATCAAAGTTAATTTAGACTGTAATTCAGAAGTAAAAACCACAATACTGATAGTTGGTCAGCAAGACCACTGAAACAGAAATATAATTTCTATATCTTTGCTAATTTAAAATAATTCCATATAGTTGACTTAATCTAATTTTCATTTATCTTAATTTATATTAACAAAATAAATTATAAATTATAAACTATGTAATGTGGCTATTGACGTTGACACTTCCAGTGACAAAACACAACTTATGAAATTGAGTAGGAATATGACTGAAGTCATCAGAAGGACATACAAAACTGATTGCTTTTTGTTTATAACAATAGTATGTGATAACTTGTTGGTTAGAAGTGAGGGAAAGGTAACACTCAAATAACTAAATCATAGTCAATCTGGGAAATCTTCATTTTTTATGGTTTAAATCCATCAAATTCTATTTCTGGTCCCTTCCTCTTCTTCCATGGGGTTGCACAGAAACATGTAAGTTCTGTTCCTTCTCAGAAAAACGTGTGGTTAATACGTGTAAGGGAGAGGGATGATAGAAAAATTCTATGTGGAATGTATGGACTGTAATCAGACTAATAGGGACAAAACATCACAAAAGTGCATTCAATGGTGAAAATATCTGGTTTGCTTCCATAATAATTGAGCACCAATATGCGCAAGTGACTAGGCTACACATTGTGAACATAAATATTAACAGTTCGCAGTCCTTCTGTTTAAAGAGCTTACCACCTAGAAAGATAAGCATATCCATAAATAACTTGCTTCATTATAAAGAACATTTATAGCAAGTGCCAAGGTGAAATAAACAATGTGTTGAACAGCACGAAGAAGAGTCAAATTCCAATCAGAACAATCAGAAAAGCTTTACTGAGGAGGTGGCATTTGGTGTAGGCTTTGAGAATGCATGAAATTTTAACAGGTGAAGAAAAAAGGACAGCAAATCAGATTGAGGGAATAGAAAAGGAAAACTGATGCATCTAGACTAGAGTTTCTGTGAACCTAGGGAAATCAGCTCTTAGAAACTGGGAAATTCATGCTGAGACTTTCTTAAGAATACAGAATAAAAGACTATATATTTATAACAGCAAAGATATAGTATCTTATACTCTACAGCCCCCAAATAATAGCATAATATCTAATAAAAATATTATAATGTGACTTGCCCTGTTCATTGTGAAACAGGGTGATGGCTTTTATTGTATAAAAAAGAAAAATGTATATAGTACAAATCACATTGCTAATGTGATTGGTCACAGGCCTCCAAAAAAGTGACCCAGCCACCTCTGATGCACTCATGCATGAAAATTCTTCAAAGGGTTGCTGAAAAGATCAAAGAAAATAATCAATGTGAAATTTCTGAACATGGCTTCGGCACATAGTAGATACTCATTAAATGTTTATAGGCTCTGAATCTGAGAAATAATTTTGAACAGATCCATTCAGTGAATACATAAGCACATGATTTTCACTACAAGGAAAATTATTGTTTTATTTGCTTTAAATGCATTCAATTCTTGTAAATAAGCCTGTTTGAACGTTCAAAGAACTGCATTAATAAAAAGGAACAATTACAATGAAATCTGCCAATAATATGCTTCCTTTCAAAAGCACCACACACTTACTCCTGTTGTGTTATTTGTCCCATTCTGGGTTTCATTCACACGTTGAACTATTCCAGAAATACAGAGAGGTCCAGCAAAACCCAGTAAGTCTGCAAGATAACGGAATGTGCTACTAAGTAGAATTGGTCGTCCAAAAGCTCTGTACATTGCTAGCCATATAGATGGAGTCCGGTTTGGATGATCTGCTACTTTTTTCTGAAAGAAAACAAAACAAAACAAAACAGATGAACCAAAATAAAACTGCTAGCACAGCAATTAATCTCAGCAACTATGGCAATTCCTTCTGATATTTCTGATGATATTTTAAGTTTATAAGTCAGTGTTAATGAGTCCCTTTAGTATAGTATGCATAATCCATAGTCCCTTGCATTCTATGCAAACAGTAGCTACTGAACACCTTTTAATGGGATAGAATGAAGAGTAAATAGGCCAGATTTTCAAAGACTTTGCATTACTTTTAGCTGTCAAAGGATAACCCAAAATTCTTAAAGTCAAATTAATTTTAATTTTTTTTGTTTGGAACATGTGTATCTGTCATGAATATTACCAAATACCATTGTATGGAAAAGAAGATAGTGAAGTATAAAAATCAAGCTTATCAAAAGACTAGTCAAGATTTCTGGAGTTACTAGATCACAAGATATTTATCACAAGCTAAAGATATTTTACTACAAGGTACTTTACTACAAGCTAAACAAAACAGATCATCCCAACTTCAAATTGTTTCTCTTCCAGGTATTTCCTATCTCCATGAATATTAGTCAGTACAGTTTAAAGTTGTGTTAGACTTGTGTTGCCTAGTTATTTGACAAAGAGATGCAAAATTGAAGAATGGTTTATACGTTTAAGCCAACACATGACTTCACACATCTGTAGTGGTTTGTTGAAAGGATTTTAAGACCTGAATAATCATCATAATTAAGTCATAGAGAGGAGGTGGGTAACGTTTTTTCATTGTGGGAAGCCAACTCAATGGAATAGAATTCAACTGTGTTTCATATTTGATTCCCTGTTAGATGAATAATTTGATTATTTTTAAAAGTTTATTAATGCAAGACATTAATGCACTAAGTTCAAGCTGATCTGCATTATAAAGAGTACGCAGAACACTTAAACTATGCTTAGGCTATATTGTTAATCTTTACATTAGCAAAGAAGTTTCAAAAATATTATGCAATACTTTTCCCAGAGGTGAAACCAAAGAGATGACTCCGGTTCATTTGTAGTAACCATTTCCTGCAATATTAATTTCATAAGACACAGTTTTGACACAAAACTGAGGTCATTTTCATCATTTACCATAAATGCTTTGTTGTCTTGATTTAGAACAGACAAAAACTCTAACTGATTCACCTTACCCCACCCCTTTCCAATGTTGTGAATACTAATAATTTCAATTGCAACAATATTAGTAGATGACTGCCATATCAATTACATCTATCACTGTGGAGAGCACACATGACTATATAGAATAATAACAAGACAAATTCAAAATATCTAAAGACTCCTTAAGGCTTTTAAAGCAATTGCTCAAAGAAAGTACCAGAAGAAACCAATTTTGACAGACATATAGGATAATACATGGAATAGGTAGATAACTTTATTTAATTCAGTTTCTCAAGTTTGAAACACAGGGTCCAAATTTTAGTCAATAATTAATTTAGGGATTTTTTAGTTTATTAAATGTGGTTATTATATGATTTATTTTACCTTTATATAACAAAATTATTGACAAGATACTTGAAAACACTTAACAATTCCACGAGTTATTAACAACATATGGTAACAAGGATTAGATATACATGATCGTTGAGCTTGATTTTTACCTTCCACTTGGTTCCAGAAAAGATAATAGTGTTCCCTCTATCCCTCTTCATGTATGAACTGGGCAATTAACACAATGTAACTTTATTTCATTGGCTCTTCTAGTATATTCTCAGTGGCCCAATTCATAAGACTCAAAATTACTGGGAAAGACATATGAAGAAAATCTGATCTTCCTTAACCATAGATATTTAAGCTTAGTAACTTTATACTTAACAGACCCATTTTCTACAATTATGGACATGAAAAACAGATACTAAATTACCTTTTGTTCTTCATATGCATCTTTCAGGCAAACATAATTTGTTACCGCCCTCATTGCTATTGGTAGTTTTCCAATTGCTTTCAGATCAATAGGCTTTTTATGAGCGGATATGATAAGTGTGTTCATCCACCAGTATGTTGCTTTTGACAATAAATTCACGAATGGTTGAAGAAATCTCACACCCAGATCCTGGAGGTCTTCAGGAGGCTTTACTTTCTGAGGATTCATGAAGAATACATACCTCTATAGTAAGAAAAATTCCATAGAGTAATAATTAACCCAATTATTTTTCCACATATTAAAATAAAATTTTAGCCTTTTCTACATTTTCATTTCAAGGGGACGAAATGTATATTTTAATACCTCTTACATTTCTTTGGAAATATATTTTGAAATGTTTCCCTTCTGTTGTGACTAGATTAATTAGTTAAATGCCAGAATTTTATGTTTAATCCACTTAAGGACAATTCTAAAAAAAAAAACAAAACAGATTATCCCTTTAAAAGATAGTTATTACTAAGAACCAGTCTTTCATGATATCCTGTCGTAGGGTCAACTAAATGAAGACTTTTACATTACTTAGATTTTTTAAATGTGTTGACACCATTATTGAGTCACTCTCTGATAATTTGTGGTTTGACTGATGTTCACTAACTGTTCTCCACTCTTCCTTACAGCTTGTGACATGCCATTCAGAGCAAAGTCAAAGTGCTCTGGCAGAAAATGAATATTGAAAAATCATTCACAAGTATGTCACACAACATAACAGCATTCTGTGATGCAAAACACAACAGGTTTGTAATCACAGACCAGGCAAGAGTCTTGACTATGTGGCTTTGGATATAGCTAGTTATCTCTGTAGAAGTTTCTTCATCAGTGAAATGAGCAAACGTATTATCTTCTTTTCATTTTGAAATTTCTAGGAATACAGTAGTTTGCTTAATATGGGTGTGCTTGGGACAAATCATGGATGATGGAATTTCCTGATGAAAACAATTTCGTCTATAATATGAGCTGAGCATAATGTTTGGCACATAACAATTGCTCAATCAATATGCACAAATGAATAAATAGATTTTAGGGTCATACTGAGATTTCTGGAACACTAATGGCCTGAAACTTAGTGATTAGTTCAACTTTTATACACATAGAGGTTATACATTTGCTCATTCTCTTGAATACTAATGATTTCTGGCTGACTATAATCTTTAATATTGGGGTCTTGAATTCCAGTAATTAAACAAAAATGATTAGATACGGTGGCACCTGGGTGGCTCAGTCATTAAGCATCTGCCTTCAGCTTAGGTCATGATCCCAGGGTCCTGGGATCGAGCCCCGCATCGGGCTCCCTGCTCAGCGGGAAGCCTGCTTCTCCCTCTCCCACTCCCCCTGCTTGTGTTCCCTCTCTCGCTGTCTCTGTCTCTGTCAAATGAATAAATAAAATCTTTTTTAAAAAATGATTAGATACCTACTCTGATCCGAATTACATTGATCTCCACAGCCATGAGGAGTCCATTCAAGATGACCATCATGCCAGTGATGCAGAAACGCAAGTCTGATACTCCCCAACCGGACTGCCAGTACTTGACCAATTTTATGGTTTTTGTAATAAAGGCCATCACCCAATACAGGAATAGGGCTGGAAAAATAAAAAGGAAAAGGAAAAAGATGCAATCTTTCCCTGATGTTTTTTTAACTTCACTGAAGTTTCAATATAAATATAATGCTTTTTAATAACAAAGATAATTTTAAATATTTTATTTCCACTTAATTTTATTTTTTAAGAAAACAACATATATGCCCGAGGGCACTTTTGGGAGTTTTGAACTGAAGGTGTAGTAATGACTTTAAAATGCTAGTGCCTCGACTCTGTAATAGATGGGTAGATGTAAAAAGACATGTAAATAGGAATAACCTACCCAGAACTTATGTGTAATTTTGTTGACTTTAAAACTGATTCTATCTCCTGGTCTTGTTTTTATTATTTTAAGAAGCCCTGATTATATTATATGAAGAATTCCCAAGTTGTTTTCTGCGTGATCTGTCCAATAGGTGTATTGCAGCTTTCAGGGGTATGTCTAATGGTATTACCCTGGAATTATTACAGAATGCACATTAGCTATATAATAGGGTTTCTGCTTTACAGATCAACATTCAAGTAGTAACTAACTCTTCTCACCCAAATGGCTTAAAACACCACATGCCTCCACAAAATGAAGAGAAGAACAATGATCCTACAGAACAAAGCCAGACTTTATGCAGTGGGATGAGAAAGGTAAGGATCTATACCATCTCCTAACCACAGCCATCCTTTCACAACAAATATGAGATGGACACAGACACTTTATTAGAAATCAAAGGTCCAGTATACTTCAAACTTTGAATAAAGGTCAGTACAAATTAATATGGGATGAGAAAGAAGAAATCTGAAACACATATGAGACAATCCATTGTACAAAACTTATTGAAGTTACTGAAGTTTAAAGGTGGCCACAGCCTCCTTAGTGAAAAAGAACTGAAACTTTGGCATATAAGCTCATCATCTATCTTGTTCTAGCATAAAATAGAAAATGTCAGAATAGATTTAGAAAAAAAAAAAAAAAAGACCAAACTACATGCAACTACATGCTACCTAAAGAGATTCATCTTGGGGCACCTGGGTGGCTTAGTTTGTTCAGCGTCTGACTCTTGATTTTGGCTCAGGTCAAGATCTTGGAGTCCTGGGATAGAGGCCCACATTGGGCTCTGTGCTCAGCACAGAGTCTGCTTAAGATTCTCTCTCTCCCTTTCCCTTTGCCCCTCCCCATGCTTACACACTCTCTCTCTCTCAAATAAATAAAATCTTTTTAAAAAGATATTCATCTTACATATAAAGAAACAGATTGAAAGTAAGTAGATAAAAAAAATATACAATGAAAACAGTAAACACAAGAAATCTGGAAAGGCTACATTAGTATCAAATAAAGTGGACTTTAAAACAAAGAATATTATCATCAAAGATACTAATCCAAAGGGATACATGGACCCCGATGTTTATAGCAGCATTATCTACAATAACCAAATTACGGAAACAGCCCAAGTGTCCATCAATTGATGAATGGATAAAGAAGGTGTGGTACACACACACACACACACACACAATGGAATATTACTCAGCCACAAAAAAAGAATGAAATCTTGCTATTTGCAATGATATGGATGGAGCTAGAGAGTATTATGCTATGCGAAATAGGTCAGTCAGAGAAAGACAAATACCATATGATTTCACTCATATGTGTAATTTAAGAAATAAAACAAATGAGCAAAGGGAAAATGAAGAGAGAGAGAGAGGCAAGCCAAGAAACAGACTCTTAACGATAGAGAACAAACTGATGGTTACCAGAGGGGAGTTGGGTGGGGGGATTAAGGAGTGCACTTGTGATGAGCACTGGCTGATGTATGTAAGTGTTGAATCACTAAATTGTAGACTTGAAACTAATACTACACTGTATGTTAACTAACTGGAATTTAAATAAAAACTTGAAAAAAAAGAGTATTATCAGAAATTTTGAAAACTCTTAATAATGACAAAGGGTCAATTTTTTAGAGACACAATAATAAAAAAATACACATTTCCATAATAAAGATTTAGAAGATCTGAACGCTATCAACCACTTTGAGCTGTTTGATATTTACAAGGCTATATAATATTTAATATTATAAAAATACACCCAAATACCCAAACACCTTCAGAATATACATTCTTGTTAGTGCACATGGTACTAGCATAGGACATATACTCAGAAAACAAGAAAAAATAAATTAAAGGAATCATATGAAGTGTGTTCTCAGTTCACAATGAAAATAAATTAAAAATCAAGAACAAGAACATTATATCAAAAACAATGATGTACTATACATTGGCTAATTGAATTTAAATAAAAAATAAAAATAAACAAATGAATAAATGAATAATAAAGATTAAAACTTTTAAATAAATTAATTAAATTTAAAAAACAAAAACAAGAAACAAAAAAGAACAATAAGTGTATTGATCTTCTATTGCTGCTAGCCAATTATGACAGGTTTAGCAACTTATACCAAAACACATTTATTATCTTACAGTTTCCATGGATCAAGAGTCTAGGCATGGATCAGTTGGGTTCTCTGCTTCAGGGTCTCACCAGACTGCAAAAGCCAGGCATTGAGTGGGGCTGCAGTCTCAATAGAAGCTCACCTGATTTGGTGTCTTCATCTTTGCCATACTCTATTGGCTAGAAACAAGTCACATGTCCCACTCACATTCAAGGGTAGAGGATTATACAGGTTGTGAACACCAGGGACAGAGACTATGAAGGTAAACTTTGAGACTTTCTACACAATTAGATATCCAGAAGTCTCCAAATACTTGGAAGTTAAACAACACAGTTCTAATTAACTGCATGTTAAAAAGGAAATCACTAGGGAAATTAGAAAGTATTTGAACTAAATTATAATAAAAATAGTACATACTAAAATTTTAAAGATTACAACTAGAACAATACTTTAAGGAAAATTTATGGCTTTAAATATTTATTTTAGAAAAAAAGACAGATCCAAAAACAATGATCTAAGTTTGTATCTTAAAAGCTAGGGAAAGGGCGCCTGGGTGGCTCAGTTGGTTAAGCGACTGCCTTCGGCTCAGGTCATGATCCTGGAGTCCCGGGATCGAGTCCCGCATCGGGCTCCCTGCTCGGCAGGGAGTCTGCTTCTCCCTCTGACCCTCCTCCCTCTCATGCTCTCTGTATCTCATTCTCTCTGTCTCAAATAAATAAATAAAAAATCTTTAAAAAAAAAAAAGCTAGGGAAAGAAGAACAATGAACAAAATAAATAAAAGGATGAAAATGATAGAGATAAGAGTAGAAAGCAGTGAAAGAGAAAATGAATAATTGAGAAAATTAACAAACGTAAGCACACAAAGTTGATTTTTTTAAAAAGATAAGAAAATTACTAAGTCCCCAGCTAGACAGATCAAGAAAAGAAGGAAATCATAAATTACCAGTATTAGGAATGAAAGAATTATCCCCACATATCCTGCATACTTAAGAAAGATAATTGGGGAATACCTTGAACAACTTTATGACAATAAATAAAAAAAACTTAGATGAAAGGGAAAATTTCTTGAAACCTGTAACTTACCAAAACTGACATAATAAGACATACTCTGAAGAGTCTGTGTCTAATAAAGAAATAAGTTTAAATTTAAAATCCTCATTTTGTTAAAAGGCCCAGATGATTTCACTGATAAATTCTATTCAACATTTAAGGAAGAAATAGAATTAACTGCACACAATGTTTTTCAGAAAATAGAGAAATAGAGAACACTTTCCAATTCATTTTAAAAAGCCAGTATAACCCAGCATATGAAAAACTGACAAAGATATTACAAGAAAATAACAGACCAATATTCTTCACAACATAGATCTAAAAAAACTTGGCAAACAAAATCTAGCAATATATAGCATGGATAATATATCATGACCATGTGTAACATAGCCCAGGAATTCATGGTTACTTTATCATTTGAAAAATCAACCAATTAATTCAGCACATTAATGGAAATCTAATTGTCCCAATGGATGCAAAAAAAAATCTTTAATAGAATTCAACATCTATTCATGATTTTATTTTTTTTTAAAGATTTTTTTTTATTTATTTGACAGAGAGAGACACAGAGAGAGAGGGAACACAAGCAGGGGGAGTGGGAGAGGGAGAAGCAGGCTTCCCACCTAGCAGAGAGCCCGATGTGGGGCTCGATCCCAGGACCCTGGGACCATGACCTGAGCCGAAGGCAGACACTTAACGACTGAGCCACCCAGGTGCCCTATTCATGATTTAAAAAAAAAACAAAACAACTCTGAGAAAGCTCTGAATAGAGGAAAACTTACTCACCTGATAAAGGTCTTCTATGAAAAGCCTACAATTAACTTTATAATTAATTATGAAATATTGACCATGTTTCCCCTAAAATTGGGCATTAGACAAAGATTTCACACTTTCCATGTATATTCTGCATTTTACTGGAGGTCTTAATTATTGCAATATGGTGAAAAAAAGCATAAAGTTCAAAAAGAAATAAGTATAACTGTCTCTATTTTCAGATGATAGATTTGTGTATATAGAAAATGCCAAGAAACCTACAAAGCAATAATTAGAAGTCATGAGTAAATTTCCAAGGTTTCAAAATATAAGATCAATATACAAAATCAACTGTATTTTATATATATGACAGAAGCAATTGGAAAATGAAATTTAAAATACAACTCTATTTATAATAGCAGTGGGAAAACAAAAAAGCTAGTAATTTAACAAGACATGGAAAACCTCTACCCTCAAAATATTTTGCTAAGGGAAATGAAAGAAGACCTAAGTAAATGAAGAACAAACAGACTGTGGAACTTAATATTGTTAAGATGTCAATTCTCCAAATTGTTCTAAACACTCAGTGCAATCCTTATCATAATCCTACTGAGATTTTTTTGTTTGGTAGAAATTGACAACCTGATTCTAACTATATATGACAATACAAAAGAACTAGAATATCCAAGGCAATCTTGGGAGAAAAGCAAAGAAAACAAGTCGTATGGGTACACTATATGATTTCAAGACCTCCAAACCAATAGTAATCAGATTAAGACAGAATGATAATCTCATAAAACTCACAAACAGATCAAAGGAACAGAAACTACAGAGCGGAGAAATAGATCAGACTAAAATGTTAATTTGATTCAAATATTTTACAAAGGTCCCAACTCAACCTAATGAGAAATGGAAAGTCTATTCCACAAATGGCTGCTGGAACACATGGGTATCCATTTGGGAAAAAAGAGCCTTGGCACCAGCCTTACATCATATACACAATTAATTTTAAATGGATCACAGTCCTAAAAATAAAAACTAAAACTATAAAGCTCCTAAAAAAAAAACAAAAAACAGGAGAATATGAGGGAAACATATTTTGAGCAGAAGCAAAAATTTCTTAAGACACAGAAAACAATAATTATGCATGAAAAAATGATAAATTATGCTACATCAAAATTAAAATCTTCTGCTCACCAAAAGATCCTAATATGCATGCCACAGACTGGAAGGAAAATATTCTCAAAACATATATCCAATGCCATACTAATATTTAGTATATACAAAGTACTCCTGCAACTCAATAATAAAAATGTAACCCAATAAAAAATGGGCAAAAGATATGCTATAGCTACTTTACAAATATAACAAATGGCTAATAAACTTATCAAAAAGTGCTCAACATCATTAGCCATCAGGGAAATGCAAACTCAAACCACAATGAATTATCAGTACACACCTACCAGCATGGCTACATTAGAAAGATCAAATCATCAAATGTTGGTGAGCATGTGGAAACACTGGGATTCCTACACATTATTAGCGAGTATGTAAAGTAAACCACTTTGGGAAAAGATCCTGTGGGTTCTTAACAAAATATTAACATTTACCTATATACCCTATGACCCAGCAATTCCACTCCTAGATATTTACTCAAAGGAAATAAAAAACATATAGCCACGGAAAGACTTGCACATGGATGTTTATACCAGCTATTTTTTCATGATAGCCAAAACCTGGAAATAGTCCAGGTATTATTGTCAAGAGAACAGAAAACTGGGGAATCTTTATACAATGGAATAATACCCAACAATTACAAGAACAAAATACTGATCTATACTATATTATGGGTGAGCCTCAAAAAAAATCACACTGACAGAAAGAAGTATTACACAAAAGAATTTATACTGCATGATTCAATTTATGTGAAATATAGAACAGGCAAATCCTATCTATGATGGGGAAAAAATCAGATTAGATTTTTGCCTCTGTGGAGATGAAAGTGAGGATTGACACAAGAAAAGTTTCATGGATGATGGCACTGTTCTATAGCATGATAGGGTTAGACAGGTGTGAGTATTCAGCAAATTAAGATTTCTACACTTCAGCACGTAAATTTTTTTATTATTTTTTGTTATGTTAATCACCATACATTACATCATTAGTTTTTGATGTAGTGTTCCATGATTCATTGTTTGCGTATAACACCCAGTCCTCCATGCAGAATGTGCCCTCTTTAATACCCATCACCAGGCTAACCCATCCCCCCACCCCCTCCCCTCTAGAACCCTCAGTTTGTTTCTCAGAGTCCATAGTCTCTCATGGTTCGTCTCCCCCTCCAATTTCCCCCCCTTCATTTTTCCCTTCCTACTATCTTTTTTATTTTTAACATATTTTGTATTATTTGTTTCAGAGGTACAGGTCTGTGATTCATCAGTGAATTGTGTAAGACTGATGAATCGCAACAGGTAAATTTTATCTCACAAAAACAACTGTAGAAAAATTTAACTCTAGTTAATGATTTGCATGCTGAAATAATTAGGAGGTGAAGTATATTAATGTCTGCAATTTACTTTAAAATGTATAAAAAATAAGCCCAATGGATGGAGGGATAGAAAGATACAGAAATGTGATCAAACAAATAGAATAAAACAGAAATTAAAGAATCTACGTATTAGGTATTTATGAGTATTCACTTGGTTCTTTTCAACTTTCTGTATGTTTGGTGATGTTCATAATATAATGTTGGGACAAAATTACTAGTTTTGTAATCTGAAAATAAATGTAATTTTTCTAGGCCCAAATATTTCTCTCCTAAAATAATGAGAAATTTAGACTATCTTTTATCTCCATAAGTCCTTCCAGCAGTATGATCTAATTGTGCCCTCTGCCTTCTATCTACAGCCAGCTTCTGACCACATCTCCTTCAAAATATTATGAAAATGCACATTTCCCTTCTAATTACATCTTATAACTTATATCTTATTCATCATCAATTTTTCAGAAACTTAAATGTCTAACATTGGATTTCCAACAGTACATATGTATTTTTTTTTGGTTTTGCCTGCTAAAAATTTCACTCTTTTTTCTTAGCGTCTTCAAAAAAAGATTTCTTTGATAATATCTGCCTTTCATGTTGTACTAAACAGCTTTTTTTTTTAAGATAATTCAGACTTTGACAAGCCTTTTAAATTGATATTTAACCCAGTCTACTTGTTTGTACTTAGATTGCCTTTGCCAAATCACATAACGTGGTGCAACACAGAATTAAATATTCAGTATTTTTTGGGTGCCTGGGTGGCTCAGTTGGTTAAGCAACTGCCTTCGGCTCAGGTCATGATTCTGGAGTCCCGGGATCGAGTCCCACATCGGGCTCCCCACTCAGCGGGGGGTCTGTTTCTCCCTCTGATCATCCCCCCTCTCATGCTCTCTGTCTCCCATTCTCTCTCAGATAAATAAATAAATAAAATCTTTAAAAAAAAATTTCAGTATTTTCCTTTAATTCATTTTAAATTTCAATGTCTTCTGGACAAGCAAATAAAATATCTGTGTGGTTTAATTATTACTTTTCCAAATTTCTATATCAGTAATCAACATCACTTTCATCATTTAACAATCAAGTGCACTCTCCGTACTTTGCAAAATTGTAAGTGTTCATTCACACAAACACACAAGACTCTGCCTGCAATTTTAGGATATTTACAGGCCTTGAAGCCCAGCCATGATCCATGTTCTACACCTTCATCTTAGCTCTCTTTGTAAAAGTATACACCACGGAATGCAAGGATTGGTCAGAGTATTAAATACAACTAATTGGGATAAGCGATATTATTACCATGGCAGGCAAAAATAAAATTAGAACACTTTAGATAGCCTCTTATTTTCCACAGGACAAAGAGGCAAGAGAGGCTGAAAAAGAAAAGGTTAGGCATGAAGCAGATGTGAGGGGCCGTGCTTTGAGGACACTGCTTCTCAGGACAGTACAGTTTCCAGCACGCTGCGAAACAGACTCTGCTGCACTGGGTCCCCCATGCCTGGGCAACAGGGCTATGAAGAATGTGACATTGCCGCAGCATCGCTGAAAAGTTGGGACCTTCAGAAAATGCCTCAGGATCCCAAGACAGAGGCAGAAACGCAGAGAGCTAGATGCACTGACTTGCTCCTGGGGCAGGACCGGGCAAGGGCTCAATTCTTAGAGTAGAGTCTCTGCAAGCCAGAAGGCCAGCACACCCCTCCCCCGGTCCCCCTGCCACACACCAACACATCACGAGGGGCATCTAGTGGAGGATGGATGTCCTGGGGGAAGAGAGTTTTCACAGCCCAGAGCACTCAGTTTATCTTCATCTTCCCCATTCACCAGTAGACTATAGAAGAATTAACTATTGTGGTTTTCCCCTGCTCCCCAGTCCCAGCCCCAGCGTTTACTAGAAAGAGAAAGAAAAATAGCTCTGGGGAAGGAGGAGGACACTTGATCATACTTACCTAAGAGTAATTTAGGAAAATTTGATGTTTCAATGTTATGATAATATACTATTGATGTTGTAGTGGCGACAAATCCCATCACAGCCGGCATGAAGAGGTGGAGATGTCGCGACTCCCGCCGCCTACGGAGAGCGGGACAGAATCAGTGTTTAGAGCTGAAGGTTCCAGACAGTTCTCACTTTGTTTCCAAATTGTCCATTAAAACTTTCTCTTACAAATAAGATACTTAAAATCAGAATGCAGTAGTCGTTGCTAAGAGAACAATGCAAAGGAAGACTACGTTGGGAGACATAATTCCGCCAGAAGGATTTATCCCCGACACAGAGGACCGGGTACCATGGCTAAACAAGCCCTTAAATACTCACAACAAGAGCAAACATGGAACGTCTCCTCTACTGAAGGGCAGAACTGCTGAAATAAGTTAACACCTAAAGCGACAGAAAACAACCACATGGATATGAACTCCAATGTACAAGAAAAGTACATTTATTCCTTTGATAGTTTTCCTAAACTTTATGGCCCTTAGTGATTTCACCATTGGCATTGATGCATTCAACACACGTGTGTTTGCTGTGTCCAGGCACTATTAGATGTCAGGATGCAACAGTGAACACAACAAGATAGAGTATCGGGGGTCACAAGCCCTAGAGTCTCCTGGGGATAACAATAGGAAATAGGAAATGATCACACAGGTGAAGGGACTATAAGCGCATGCAGGGCCAGCATCTGAGGAAGAGAAAGCTTTGTGAAGGAACCGACTTCTGCACTGAGGCCCTAAGACTAAGGGATGCTACCCAGAGGAGGAAGAAGGCCGACGGTTCCAGGCAGAGGACCCAGACATGTTTCAGTGTATCACACGCAACTGAATATGATGGAAAAGGGATTAGATTTCACTCTGAGGGCAATAGAGAGCTTCACATGGATTGGAAACATGACAAAACCAGATTTGCATGGTAGACAGCCCTCAACTCATTTACATTAATAACGCCACCTAGTAAAACATTTAACTTTTCTCAAATTACTTAAATACATTCGTACATAAAAGGTATAGAGAGTGACTAGTTTGAGAGTGCGGGAAGGAGGAGCATTTGGGAAAGACACTTCAAGATATGGTGGAAGGTGGAAACTGAAATATGAAAGGGAATCCACTAGTCAGGAACATGGTAGAAGAGCACTTTAAAAATAGGGAACAGAATGTGTAAATACATAGGAGCACAAAACTGTGTGACATGTTCAAAATTCCAAGTAGTTTAATATTCTCAAATAGAAAGTTTCATATAGGATGCACGGTGAAAAGCTCTTATGACATGGTAAAGAGCTGGAATCTAATCTTTTGGAAAATCGAAATATTTTAACAGGTAAGTGGTATGGTCAGATTTTCGGGGGTTTTAGACAAATCAATCTGGTAATAACACAGATGATGGAGTTGATAGGTAGTGTGTGCCTCTGAGGAGAGGAAAGAGACATAGAAGGAAAAAAAAGCAGTTAGCAAATTATGGGTATAGGCCAGGTGAGAGATGATGGAAGCCTGAACTAAGCTTTGGCAGCAAAAACAAGGAAGTAATACAACATCTGGAAAATATTCATTGTTAAAATGGACAGGACTTTAATAGTGTTAGGGTTTTAGGGTGATGGTGAAGGAGACATAAAGAATAATTCCCAAGGGGGCTAGGTGGATGGTGGGTAACCACTTAAGTCTTGAAGAAGATGAGCAGTTTGGAGAAAAGAAGCTAGTAAGTTCCAGCAAGGCCATGCAGACCGTGAAGGTGTCTATTAAACATGCAAAGGGAGTTGTCTAATAGGCCCAGTGTATGCAGAGATTTGGAACATGACCAGTGATATACACCATATTAGGCAAGTGATTTGAACTATTTCTGGGGAGTGATGGGTAGTTTTTAAACCAGCTTTTATGCTATCGTGGTACTTTCACATTTTTGTTACCATGTCCATATGGTATACAACACCCCCCAGAAATAGTTCAAAATGGTCAAAAAGAAAAAGTAGGAAGTAAATATTTCATCAGCACGGAAATTAAGAAATGCTTCCAGTATTCTTTTACTATGGAACCAAAGAAAAAATTTTAAAAATCACTTGCCTAATATTTAGGAAATTTAAAAATGAGCATACTACCTATCAAGGCCTATAAATAAATGTGGTCAAAACCATACTCAGAAGAAAGTTTATAACTAACTTTAAACATATTCAATGAGAAAACATTATAATAAATAAATTATGTAGTCAATTCAAGAAGTTAGAAAAAAATGACAAAACAACATTAAGGAAGACAATATAGTAAGGAATGAATAAAGATAGCAACAGCTACAGTAAAGTTTTATACTTATTGTGGCATTTCTTTGTTAGGGATTTCATGGGTCTTTTAACCATGCTAGTCTTTTTATTAGGATTGCTATTATATTGTTAGTTGTCTACTTACAAAGCTGCACAAGTTTTGAGTGGTGTCCCAACCCTATTCTTTCCCTTAAGCTCTGTTATTTTTAGAGTGTGACTCGCAGACCTCGAGGTTCTGGTAGAAGCACACACATCCCATTATAGCAGAAAATCTTTACTCAGAAAGTAAAGAAGAAAATCAAAATGCATTCATCATGGAGGACAAAAAAAATAATATCAAAAAAGACAAAATGATAAAAATAAAAGCTGAAATGAAAACATAATAATAGTGAAAACTTTAATACACATTTTTAGAATTTGATGAATTAAATAGTATAAAAATAATCAACACGTAAAACTTGGGTAATCCAATCAGTAAACTCAATAAAATTTTGTCTCCAACAAAACAAATATATTATTTTCTAATTCTCATTAAAACCATATAAAATAATCAAATATTTAACTAAAATGGAAATGCTAATGAGTCCTAAAAGGTATTTGTTTAACCAATTATATGATCTACTAATAAATCAATCATATTAGACTAAAAAGCAAACTGAAAATGATTCCTAGATGTAGGAGAGTATCTAAAGAAGAACCACAAACTATTTAAATAGAAATAAAAAAGAGGACATTTCTTAACAAAAATCTGTGCAAAACAGGTAAGGATGTTTCAAAAGAAAAATGAATAGCTTTAATATTTGTATTACTAAAAAAGAAAATCAAATATTCAATTAGGAAAGTCTTTGCATTGTTTCACTAATTATAATGAGCATATGTTACATTTTCAGCAAAGAATAGTTCATAAATATTTTGTTAAAGAAAAAGAAGGAAGGTTTTCTGGACCATTTGTTTTTTTGTTTTGTGGACCATTTGTGTGTGTGTGTGTGTGTGTGTGTGTGTGTGTGGCAGTTTTAAGTTATTAGTTTTTAAAATCAGTACTTTTTAATGGAAACAACTTGACCAAAAATCTGTCACAGAATTTTGAGACCCAATAAAACAAAACCTTAATGAGAAAAAAAAAAAAGAAAAAGAAGGAAGGAAGCAATGATCAGCAATGTCGAATGTAATAAGTATGATAAGGAAGAAAAGCTGTTCATTAAAGTGTCTTTAATGTTCACTGGCATTCTTGTACAAGCAGTTGCCAGAATAGGATAAGGCAAGCAAGAAAGTAAACTAAATTTTGGAGTTCAGGAATCATTGGAAAATGATTTTTGAGAAGCTTGGATAAAAAGGGTAAGGGATGAACATTGGGGAAGGTATGTGCTGTAATGAGCATTGGGTATTATATAAGACTGATGAATCACAGACCTGTACCCCTGAAACAAATAATACATAATATGTTAATTAAAATAATAAATAAACAAACAAATAAATAAAAGACTAAGGGGAAGCAGTCAGCAGTCTGCAGCTAAGGAATGGGAGGGAGTAACACAAATCAAGAGTACATTTCTACTTGATTTCAGGATGGGCCTTTTATATCATTACTACTATAAAACAAGTTTCTGCCGTTAGCATATGTCTTCACCCTTCTTAGCCCAGCCTCTAAGTCTCTGACTGAATCTATACAACAATCATGAGGCTGGAAAGAAGGAGACATTCTTGCCTACATGGTGTCAAGTTTTTAGGAAATGTTGGACTGATCCATCTTATACATACACACAGAAACACACAGAGTCAGCTTGTATATTAAGGGATTAAAAACAAAAACTAGAATTGCCTATGTTAATACAATAGAATACAAATACACCAAAGGGTTTTAAACAGTAATCAATAAGATAATAGCCAATCAAGCTTCTAAATGCTTGAAGGCATGCAATATCAACAGAGTCCCTGATTTTTCTTTTTATCAGAAACTAAGACGTGCACATCCATGCAAAGAACTGTCATAAAACATTACAAAATAGTTGGCTCCATAACAAAAGCTCAGAAGTTTCATTCCTCATTAACTGCAACAGAAAAACATAAACAGATGTCAGGGGAGGTCCCTATTAATAAAAGAAAAATGATTTTTGAGCTTTCTTTTTAAAAACTCTTAAGAACTTTTCATATCAGTTCTTTAATTGATGGTGCACTATTTAGCATAATTTCATAATCAAAATTCTCTTATTTGATATTGCTTATCAAAATTATTTCCTATTTTTTGTTAATACATGATAAAAATATTTTTCCCACATTATGTTCAGGTTTATAAGTAGAATGCATTATATTCTAACTGCTTAATGCAAACTTCTTTTATAAGAATGACAAAATTCCTTCAACTCCTTCAAAAATATGGGTTTTATGGCAAATCTTGATTTTAAAACAGTTGTGTTTTGCCTCAATTTGTGGCTACATCCTCACTGGTTCTCAGACTTCTTTAATGCCTGCCTCATCTATCTTTGCTTCTTTATAAAACAAACTCTGGGAACTGGTTATATATTTATATGTAAATATATAGCTATTTGAGCTATATGTCAATATAGACAATCTTTCTATGTATACTTACATTGATAGGTAAAGTAAACAGCAAAATGTTTAAAAGGAGAGAACTTTCTGCAAGAGCTACACAGATGAAGGAACAAAGAAACAGCACATGAATAAGCATAAGTCACAGAGACCTGAATTTTTGTTATCAGAGAAATTACGTGGCAACACAAAAATACAGACAAAACACATGCTTATCAAATGCAGCAGTCCCCCTCTTATCTGCGGGGGATATGTTCCTAGACCTCAGTGAATGCCTGAAATCACAGATAGTACCGAGTCCTATATATACTATGTTTTTCTTTTTTTGTTGTTTTTTGTTTTTAAAGATTTTATTTATTTATTTGACAGAGAGAGACACAGCAAGAGAGGGAACACAAGCAGGGGGGAGTGGTAGAGGGAGAAGCAGGCCTCCCGCTGAGCAGGGAGCCCGATATGGGGCCCGATTCCAGGACCCTGGGATCATGACCTGAGCCGAAGGCAGACGCTTAATGACTGAGCCACCCAGGCGCCCCTATACTATGTTTTTCTTATACATACATACCTATGATAAAGTTTAATGTATAGATTAGACACTGTAAGAGATTAACAACTGATAATAATAAAATAGAATAATTATAACAATATATTGTAGTAAGAGTTATGTGACTCCCTCTCTCTCAAGATAATTTATTGTACTGTATTCACCTTTCTTCTTGTGATGATGTTAGATGAGAAAAATATCTACATGATGAGATGAAGTGAGGTGAATGGCATAGGCCTTGTGATGCAGCGTTAGTAGACTGACCTTCTGACTACCCATCATCAGAAGGAGGACCATTTGCTTCCAGACTTCGGTTGATCATGGGTAAATGAAATCACAGATAAGCAGGACTGCTATAAAATGAGTGACAGCTGTTGTTCCTAATGAGTTATAACTGAAGGGTTAAGCCTGACTTGGTATGCTCTTAAGTACCAATCATATCAATATACTCACTAGTATAGTTGTAATCGTATTAACTATGTTGAATCACTTACGAGTCAGAAACAATGCCTTCTGCTATTTCACAAACATGCACAAAGAGAAGAGCAAATGTAAGAATCCATCTCAGGTTATGTCCAGGAAAATGAAGCCATGTGTTATGATGAATTTGTACTTTTGAGCTTTGACTTCCCCACCCTGAAAAAAATAGAAAAGTAAAAGGATTAATTATAATCATGGAAATAATGCATATTGTGATATCATTTGGGGATGGAAGATTCCTGAAAGAGGAATGAGAGGTGCTTTCTAGGGTAGCAATGAAAATCCTGGTCTTTTTTCATTATGTTAAAAAAATAACAATTCCATTTCAATGAATTTTTATAAGACTGCCTAGGTTAACACATTGACATTTGTTGCACTGCTCAAGAATAAGGCCAACTCTGGGTGACAACATGGTTATCTCATGCTCATCAGAGCTCTTACTGAGAGGTCCCTGATTCGTTTAAGAGGAAACCAAATTAATGATGATGTTAATAAAAGCAATTTGGTGTCTAAAATCTTTCAAAACATGGAATCTGTGGGGGGACTAATGAAAAGAGCCATATTTGGTAATGAAATGTAGAACTCATTAGTTGAGTCAACTCAATCAAATGTGTATCATGTGAGAAAAATTATAACCTATGACTGGGCCAGCACTATTCAACAGTGGTAGTGATATTTTCTCAAAGAAATGTTTTGTTTGTAGAGAAGCCTCACATACTTCAAGAATGAATCGGGGTTTGTGCTCGAAATATTGCAGGAAGGAATTTCTGTAAGGACTAATGGGGCTCCTGAAGCATTCTTTGAAAAGAAAATTGATTCATGTCTTAGTTGTTCCCAAATGAACTTCATTATGGAAAGACTAGTTACATATAACATGTTGTACTAGAATTTACACTGTAAACTCTTGAAAGCAAGCTTTCCTTATGCCTGATGCTTCTTTGAGATTTATTTATGATCTTTCACTAACTCAAGTAGCCAATGTTAGAGGTGAACAGTCTACATTTTCCTCCACCATTCCCCTTTGACAATGTTCACTCCAACTCCACTTGATTCAAATACCCTTTACCAGCCTATGTTCAATGCTACTGATGCAAACAAGACTGTCCCAGTAATTGCCCTCAAGAAGTGAGTTGAATGTTAAAAATAAATTATTAACTGTAAAATTGCATTTAAAAAAGTATGGTCTACTTTTGGCCAAAGGGCATTGTTAATGTCCTACAAATAATACCAACCACATAAACAACAACTCGTGTTTCTATATATGGCCACTCTGGCACAGTTATATTTAATGTCTATATATTTGTTTAACATGAATAACAATGTGCCAAGAGTTTCGTTGGCCTATGCATATGATATATCTTATAACAGAAATTTTTTGATCACCGTTACAATGCCAGGTACATAGTAGTCTCTCAATCAATATTTGTTAAATGAAGAAATAAAAGTGTGCAAATTATTTTTAAACCTTCTTTTGAAGCAGATCATTAAAATATGCTAGTTTTCTTAAAAAAAGCAGTCTGATGGTTTTTTTCATTTATTTTTATAAGCAGATTTATTTTTATGAGCAAAGTTAAACACCAAATTCAGAGAGTAGTTATCTCTTTTGAATGGACAGGGACATCGGATGTGGGAAGAGTAACCGGCTCAGGAAACAGTAACAGAGGGATTCACTTATGTTCTTACCATTAGATTCCTTAAGATGAGTGGTGACAGGCTCAATAGATGTTTATCATATTAGTCTCTGTCATTTTTATATGTGAAATGTATTTTTAAAAAATTTTTAAGTTAAAGGTCTATTTTGATTGTTTTGGGGAAGTTATACAAGTCATACATAATTATTTTAAATAATTGGATTTTGTGTATATGTAAACTGTAAAATAATAGAGAAAACTGTATTTTTAGCTCCTGTGCAAATAGTTTGCATAAAGTATTCTTTCTACCTGGAACACAGCCTTATCACTCTTACTTGAACTTGCACGCTCTGTGTCCTCAGATCCCCCAACATGTCACTCTCCGTGCAATCATCCCCACTGGCCCCATGAATTAGTTGTTCTAGCAAGTTAATGCCCAGGATAATTTGTTCCCGTACCTGCAAATGAGCTTACAATGTGAGATAGTCATCTTTTCCCTTGACTTCGATACATCTGTTTCACTGGACAGTTCCAGTGACTATTCCAAGCAAGTACTATGTTTTACCCATTTCCCATTCTCTTCACCACCACAAAACAAGTGCTCAGCAAAGGCTTTAGATCTATCCCACATAATTCTCTCTCCCTCTTTTCAAAACACTGCTGCTGCTACTTGAAGTCCATTTCTAAGGAGACATGTGACTTCTATTTTATCTACAAAATATCATATGCCAAGACATAAATAATTGGGAAGCACAAAAAACTTGCTTGTCCTTTTCTCACAGATATACAAATCAGTTCTCATGTTGGGAAAATTAGGTCAACGTTATACCAAATCTCAACCATTAATAAGGCTTAAAATGAATATTAGGTGAGGAAATATAGGAGAATAGATCACTTACCAATAAACAATATTGGAAAAGTGATGAACAACAGGAAGACATGAGGGACCAGGTTGAGGGCATCCACAAAGCAGGGGTTTTGTAACACACCATCATAGATATTATATGAAGAAATGTTGTTACCACAGAATGAAAGGCTCATTTCTTCTTGTATCACTTACTCTAAAAGGAAGAGACAAGAGAAAGAGGCTCTCGTTATTAAATTCCCTTTCATACACTCAGAGCCCTAAGGAGGAGGTTTTATTATAAAATTAACCCCCTTTATTTTTGCAATTGAGGAAATAGGAAACTGTATGCCAAAGTCATTTAAGAGTTTCTTATAAAGGCCTTATACATTCTATAAATCACTTCCTTTAGAACCTTTTTTTCCAGAGAAAAATATTTTATTTTAATTTGGAAATATATATAATTACTAATATCTACCAATGATAGTACCTTAACGAAGTGTGTGTGTGACTAAAATGATTTCACGGAACAAAAATGGTGATATATCAAGAAAAAGAAAGAAAAAATGAAACTACTGATTGATACTACAAGATAATGTAATATCAAATCCTTTCTCATCCTTTCTCACTGAAAATGCATTAGCAAATAACTTAAGCTGGACAAAATTTACCACCACTTTTTGTTAACTGTACAAAGGAATACTAATACACAGAAGCCAATGTGGTGGCAAACAGCAATCAGCCTTTCTCTGAAGACTATTAAAATCAAGTGCTTCAGATAAATTAAATATAACTCAAATGATAATTTAATGAAATTACTCAAGTCCCGCATTCAGAGAATATTCTTACATGAAATGCACCCTAATCAAGTTTCGAAACAAAAAAAAAATGTTTTTTAATTGGAAATCAATATTACATTAGAGTAGTAGGCAAATTTGGAGAGGAAGCTGAGGACAAGGTAACCCAGGGTTTTGCTAGCCATTGTTGGGATTTTGGCTTCTACTCAGTGAAATGGAATCACTGGGTGGCGGGGGGGGGGGGGGTTGATCAGAGGAGTGACACACTCCAACTCACATTTTAAATGCATTTCTCTTGTTGCCGCCCTGAGACAGATGATATAAGAGCAAGGGTCTGCATCAAAATACCACTGTGAAATTCTCAAGAGTTTTAGCCTTCTGAAAAATTCTTTTATTATGCCACCTATTTACCTACTACCTGCCAAATTCTGGGCACTTTGCATACACTATCTTTAGTCTTTATTTTTATTTATTTTTTTTTAAAGATTTATTTATTTATTTATTTGAGAGAGAGAATGAGATAGAGAGCATGAGAGGGGGGAGGGTCAGAGAGAGAGGCAGACTCCCTGCCGAGCAGGGAGCCCGATGCGGGACTCGATCCCGGGACTCCAGGATCATGACCTGAGCCGCAGTCGCTTAACCAACTGAGCCACCCAGGCGCCCCTATCTTTAGTCTTTAGAATAGCCATGCAATGTTAGTTTTCTGTATTTTACAGGAGAGCATTCTGAGGTTCAGTAACTTGCCAACCAGTAGGGTAGCGGTGATCCACACCCACGTGTCTGACTTAAACTATGTTTCTCCCCCTGCAGCATGCAGCCTCCAACCTATTTTTTAAAAAACATCTTTATCTATTGTCATTAAAAGACGTAGCAGTTTAAGACTTTAACCTCACTGCACTTGGTCTCTTTTCCACATTATTTCACACTGGATTCTGAGTTAGATTATTAAAGGTTGGTAAAGGTATAAATAAGTAAACTAGTACCTTTTCTCTCTTCCCTTTCATTGAGAAATGATTTAGCAATGGTCACGAACAGTATTTTTCCCTAGAAAAAAAAACCAGTGTTATACAGGAAAGATTGGCAACTGTAGGTAAGCTATTGGAGAAACCAAATTTCAAGCAAAAGTTTTGTGTTTTTTTTATTCTTATGTTAATCCCCATACATTACATCATTAGTTTTAGATGAAGTGTTCCATGATTCATTGTTTGTGCATAACACCCAGTGCTCCATGCAGAATGTGCCCTCCTCAATACCCACCACCAGGCTAACCCATCCTCCCACCCCCCTCCCCTCTAGAACCCTGTTTGTTTTTCAGAGTCCATCGTCTCTCATGGTTCGTCTTCAAGCAAAAGTTTTATAAAGCATTATATGAATAGAACAACTAGTTAAAAAACCTGTGTTTACAATCTGTAAATTCTTATATGGAATTCCTCTCACACATTGTTTCCAGTAAGCCCTTTTACTGATCATTGATATGATCTCCAGTTGAGACCTTCTCTCATTTAAAAAATCATATTAAAAAAAACTCAAGATGAGGGTATATACTTGGCAAATTCTTAACAACTATTAAGGCTCCAAGCCTCATAAGATAATCAAAATGGGCTTGAGATTTTTTAAGTAACAGTAAAATGGAAGTTTTGTATTATGTACCATAGGTATATGAAGTGATGGATCTTAACTAAACCTAGTGTGGTAATCATATTACAATACATCTAAATCAAACCATCATGCTGTACACTTTAAACTTATACAGCGATGTACATCAATAAAATGGGAAAAAAAAAAGAAAAAAAAACTGAAAAATAATAGCTAGTAACGGAATTTCTAAGACTTTCTTTTATCTTTTAGACTATCTCTTTTATTGAGTAGAAATGACAAAAAGAAACTTGAACCCACTCTTACTGAAAGACATGTATAAACTGTTTCCTAAAATGAACCAGAAAATAATTTTTACTTTTGCCAGTTTTATAATTTTATCCAAAATGATAATATTCCAATTGGCCACATTTATATATAGATAGATAAGATAGATATTTAATCATTATCACTGAGCCAGATACTAAAGTATAATCTGGATTTGCAAAACATATACTTCATTAGCTATAATAAGCATTGCCTACCTGGTATGGTTAATCAATCCTCAAATGTACCAATCAAGTAACCTCTGGATAAATGTGTATAACGGTGGAAAGAAAATATCAGAGAACTACAGCAACCTGCAGAAGTCAAAGAGCATTTCCAGCCACGTACTTGATGTCTGGGATTCTAGGCCATTCATTAAGTGTAAAAATACGTATTGATGCTGACCATATGCTAGGCACTAGGAATCCAAGAATGCAGATGACAAACAGTACCCGAGGTCTTAGACCATATAAATCCGACTACACTAATCCCAGTAGCTCTTGGTATAAAGGTTATGATCTACCAGACAGGGAAATAACACAATGACATAATCATACTAAGGTGTATACTTCAGATCAGTAAACTGAAAGCTTTAGAATGATTCCTTTCTTCTACCATAATCTCTAACCTCAAATGCCCTAGGGCTCCCAACCTGTTCACTACCTCTCACTGCATCTCTCGGGTCTTTGTTTCTGTCTCCTCTTCCTCCATCCTTTTCCCTCTGCCCTTAGCTTCTTTCTCCAAACCTAGAGTACACATGTGGCACATTCTAACAGTCAGCCCGTCTTACAACTCAACATGGGCAAAAAGAGGGAAGGAGTAAATTTGTAGCTATGCTGATAATTATCGTGTTTGCCAAAGGCATTTTATTCAATCAGGACTTTCAATTAATTTTTAAATCTCCTATTGTCATTCAGGGTTTCCTTCCCAGAACCATGATTAAGTTAGAGACGTTTTGGGAACAGTATAAATTGTTGCTCTAGCTGGCTAAACTCTGTCACGTGACGCCCCTGAGCCAGGCCCCTTCTGGAGCTGTCTCCTTCAACTAAGCACTGACAGAGGCCCAAGCATCCAGGAGGAGGGAGAGGGAAAAGAAGCCAGATAGGAAGACATGACACTTTTCTTCCCACAGGCATAAACCCCCTGAAAGATGTTCAAGTAAGTTTAGGACAGCAGACAGGGTTGAAGAACTTGACTGAATGAACCTTAAAGACAAATGTCAAAAGTGAAACTTTGATTATAGGGATGGTCTGCAAAGCAGAAAGCATAGAAGGAAAATAATCCTTGATGCCCAAACGTAAGGTTTCATGGCAAAAATCACACCCTCAGTATTTTATTCTTTGAAATGCATTATAGAAAGTTCCACACCCTCAAGAGTTATAAAATTTAGATTTGGTTGAAGGCTAAAGTAAAAACTAGCACTCTTTCCTGCTCATACAGAAGAAAGTGTCGGCTCTAATGAATTAGCAACCTCCGAGAACTTAAACATGCTAGAAACACCTGAAGAAAACATGCTAAAAGCACTCTAAAAACTTTCATTCTTACATACAAAGTAACTCTTTAGTTATTTGAGATTAACAATATGTTATAAGAGAGAAACATAACATTGTAAAGGCATTACCATTATCTAGGGAATTTTCAGGAATAGATCACTTAAGAAACACATGTAATAACTTCTTTGAAATTTTTCATTCAGTCTGTGATTCACAAAATAGGAAGCAAAAGATGTCTATTTCCCTATCTATGAATGACAGATCCAAGTAGGAAAATCACTAGCAAAAATGACCACTGTCTTCTGATCTAGTGTCTGATCTCAATGCACCCGTTGAAGTTCTATGGCACACTAAAGGAAATAGTACTCAACAGATAAGATTCAGACACGCCGATAGGATATTTTTTTAATCCCAAATTGAACAAACAAGCAAAAAATAAATACCTTGGGCGGTCGCTTGATGCTTCAACCCCCTACTCGTGCACTTGCACTACCTTCAAAACACCAGCTTCCTACACTGTCTTAATTGTCAGTTTCAAACCCAGACGCAGAACTCCTAAAAAGTAAAGAGTAACAAAAATTAAGCAAACACAAAACTACTTCATGAACAATACAGGAGATTGTCTAAGAGAAAAAAATTAGTAATAACTCCTTGCATTATTCCCGGCCGGTTTTAAGTAGGAGCCGGCAGAGTTTTGTAAGTAAAGCTGGAAACCTGATCCCCACGCCCTCTCTTCTCCGGCTGGGGCCCGGTGCCTTAATCCTAGAAATAGCTACCCTGAAGGCAGCGCTGCGAGAGTGCGCGGGCGCCTTTTGGTTGCCGAAATCGACAGTTTACAGTTACTCTTAAAATGTTTAAGTCATATTTATGTAAAAAATACGGACTCACTTACTCCGAAGGCAGTTTTCCTCCCCTAGCCGAAGCAAGCAGGGCGCCGGAGCGGATTATTTTTAGGGTGGTGGGAGATCAGCTGCTGCCTCCTATCGGGTTTCTAAATTGCACAAACTGCTCCGAGCTGGGGCGGACACGACAACTCCGAGGCAGGAAACTGGGCAGAAGCCCCGAGTGCAGCAGCGCCTGGGACTGGAGACCCTCCCCACCCCCGCTCGGCCTTGCTTTCGGTACTGGGGCGACCAACTTGGGGTGCGCGTTGCAAAGATTTTACAAACACAAGTAATACGCATCCCCTAAACTTCATTAAACACTGAAACTTGCAACGTAGGATTCAATGATTCTCTGGAGTCAGGTTTTCAGACGTCAAAACACGCAAGGTACTCACTTGCACTTGCAAATTTTTCCCCCCCAGGCTCTACAAGCGCCCTTTTATTAACCACAAAAGGAAGCGGATCTGGGGAGTTCACCGTTTTCCCCCCAAGCGGACCTGGGACACGAAGGGCTCGTTCCAGGGAGAGGACACCGCTGCCAGGCTGTATGGGCGCGTGCGAATGGCTCACAGGAGAGAGGCGGGCTCAAATCGCATACTTGCCCCAGCGACCCGGAAAACTTGGTTACTCCTCAGGACCAGTCGCCGCGCTTCCGAAGGGCGACCCCTACCCTGGCTCCCCGAAAGTGGGACTTCGACTCCCACATCTGCACAAACAGTCCCCCCCCCCCAACACACACACACTCTTGCTCCCGACCAGAGAGAGAATTAATTGTCAAGGACATAACCGGTTTAAAATACACTCACCCCAAAATAACTGTCCCCAGGACCCAAGCCGTAAATTTTGTCCCCGGGCAACCCTCTTTAATTAACACTCGGTTTTCTCGGGGGCCAGTGCTCAGCAGCTTGAAATAATCACTGTTTTCAGCAATTGTCCTAATCCATTAAAGAATGGTCGGCAGGCGGGCTGGTGCCTCCGGGGCGCCGCGCGCGACCGCCCCGGGGCACCGCTTCAGGAGCGCGGGGACCCGGAGCTGGTTCCCGGACCTGCACCCTGAACCCCGGCGGCCTCCCGGCCTCTGCGACTTGATGGGCAGAGGCCGACCCCCGCCCTGCGAGCCCCGGGGATTTCCCGCGGGCGCCTCACTCTCGGAAAGGGTCGCTGCGTTCCCGCGTGAGTGCCGGGCCTCCGCCAGCGACTGAAGCTTGAACCCTCGGCCGCTAGGGGTCTGCGGGGCCTCGCGGGGCGACATCTGGGAGGGTCCCGAAGAATCTGGTCCCACGGCGCTTGAAAGTTTGCCAGCTGCACCCTGGAGCTGTCTGCCACGACGCAGGCGCACAGAGAAAGCATGCTTCCAGAACGGGGATCCGGGTACTGGGGGTGGGACGCGGGAAGACCCGGTGAACAAGCGGGAAGGGAGATCTGGGGCTCCCCAGACACCTGGAAATGGGGGGTGCAGATAATCCCCAGATATAAATCTGAGCGTTACTACAGAAAATCAGGTTGACTTTGGGGTTTAAAAAATATATATTACTATTATTGAGATGGTTTATAATGAGTACAAGTTATGCTTTGTAGAAACTTTGGAAATTATTGAAAAGTATAAGGGAGACAAGTGGACCCCCAAACCTGTAAAACTGAAAACACTTCATTGCATTTTAACAGGGAGTAAAAGCATGGACGCAAGAGCTAACCTGCTATCAAACCCTACTACCTCACTCAACTCAAACACTTCGGGCAAATTACTTATCACCCTGTGTATTAGTTTCCTCACCTGTTCAATGGGGAAAAATAAAAAATATATATATATATAACATATGCATATTATATTGTGTATATATATAAAATAAAGATATATATATATATCTTCATAGTCTTGATGTGAGGGTAAATGGGAGGATCCCTTTAAAGTGCTGAGTGCCTGCCCTTTCAGTAAAAGGTAATATGTATGCCATGGTTACTATTTTTTCTATGCATATTTAATATTGTTGGCAATCACAAAATAAATTATCTCCTCACAGTACCTTTTAAAACAATTATTTTCTGATGGAATTTTAAAATCTTTATAGAAATCATTTAAATGGCTGCATAATGCATTGTGTGGCTATCATAATTTAAAATCCATTCTCCTACTGTTGGACATATAGTTACCGATTTTTCACTACCGTATTTAATCCTATGATGAACTTTTAAAATAAAGTTTCTTCTTTCTTTGCAGCAGATAATTTTTTTAAGGTTCATTTTCTGAAAAGTAATTGCAGGGTCAAAAGTAGTATTTTTAAGGCTGTGGATTTAGAATGCAAAATTACTTTTCTAAAAGGTTTGTGTTAACTCCCCCCAAACCGTATGAGCTGACCTATTACACTTACACCCAAACCAGCATTGAATATACATATTTATTTTTAAAAATCCTGTAATTTGACAGATAACATGCAATCCTTTGTTATTCATATTAACTTTTTCCAAATGTTCATTAATCTTTGTATTCCCTCTGTTGTGAATAGCTTGTCCATATATGGGTCCATCTAATGGGTATTAATGAAGTTTCTTACGATTTGCATGAACTTTTAATAAGAGGATATTAATCTTTACATATACATGACAAATATTTTTCCCAGTTTGTCATTTAAGAAAACGATAGTGGTGCTGCTTTTACAAAAAATAGAAACAGTTGTTTTCATACATCCTGTAAGGATTTATTTGAACACACACACTGGCTAGATCTCCTGTAGATCACAGAGGTTAGTGATGAGTCAGACCTCCAGGATCTTTGCCTTCCTGGAGCTTTCTTCTAAGATAAAGTTTACTTAGGCAAATTTGGTGTCTTTTACTAGTACATTGTATTCCAATGCTTTAGTTAATAAATACTAACCTTTAAACAAATATAAAGGGTTTTTATTAAGTAAAACAAGATGAAATCAGAGAGGGAGACAAACCATAAGAGACTCCTAATCACAGGAAACAAACTGAGAGTTGCTGGAGGCGAGGTCGGTGGGGGATGGGGTAATTGGGTGATAGACATTAAGGGGGGCACGTAATGTGATGAGCACTGGGTATTATGAAAGACTGACGAATCACTGACCTCTACCTCAGAAACCAATAATACATTATATGTTAATTAATTGAATTTAAATGAAAAAAAGAAAAAAAGAAAGGGCTTTTTATATTTTATGCTGTTCTAGAATTTATTTTGGCATATACCATGAGATGAGAACTTAACATTTTCTTTGTTACACCATTTACTGAATAATCTTTTTTCCCCTGTCCTGATGTGTAATACCATCTTTGTTGTATACTTATCATTATTTTATAAAAGATCTGTTTCTGAGCTAACTATTTTGTTTAATGGATCTTTTCTTTTCTTTTTTTTTTGAGAGAGAGAGAGAGTGGGGGGGGGGAGGTTGGGGAGGGGGAGGAAGAGAGAGAATCTTAACCAGCCTCCACACTCAGTGCAGAGCCCAACTTGGAGCTCGATCTCAGAACCCTGAGATCATGACCTGAGCAGAAATCAGGAGTTGGATGCTTAACCAACTGAAACACCCAGGAGCCACATTTAATGGATCTTTTTTATAATTTTTTTTTTTACTATATTACTGTGATCAGATGAATTTTATTATTATAGCTTTAAACTATATTTTTAACTCTGGGAGGACCAGTCCCATTTGTACTCTTTACAAAATTTTCTTAGCTATTCTCTGTTGGGCATTTTATTGGAATTTCATTAAATTTAGGAAGTAATTTACAAAAAAATCATATTTTTAGTGTTCCTTCTATCCAGAAAGATAGTTTCCTATTTACTTACGCCTCCTTTTTATCTTACTATCAAATTTATATAAATCTGTACATTTCTTATAATGATCAATCATAAATTTTATATTTTTGTTTTCATATTTTGTACTGATATTTGTTTATATATTCTGATATGTATTTATCTTATATATAACCATTTTGTTAAGCTTTCTCAATAATCTTAGTATTGTTTTGCCATGTTACCTTGACTGTCCAAAAAATATGATTTTATCTACAAATAGTGTTGCACTTGTATTATGGAGTGCATGTTTGTGTTCCCTCTAAATCTTACATGTTAAAACTAACCCCCCTTGGGATGGTATTAGCAGGTGGGGCCTGTGAGAGGTAATTATATTTAGATGAGGCCATGATGGTATTAGTGACCTTATGAGAAGAGAAAGAGACTAGAGTTTGCTCTCTCTGCTCTCCATTATGTGAGGACAGAGTGAGAAGACAGATATCAGCAAACCAGGACAGCGGCCTTCAGCAAGAACCAAATCTGTTGGTACTTTGATGTTAGACTTCCCAGCCTCCAGAACTGTGACAGATAAATGTTTGTTGTTAAAACCACCTAGTCAACAAATTACTACCTGGGTAATTTGTTACAGCAACCCAAACTGACTAAGACAACTTACTTCCCATTTTCAAATACTTATAGCTTATTTATATTCTAATTTTATCAACTCCAAATTCCAGAATGGTATGAAATTAAAAAAGAAGACAAACATCTTTGTTTTCATTAGAAATATGTACATTATATTTTAAAATCAACTTTAAGTATAATTTTCTTAAAATAAAAACAATCCATTATACATGTAAAATCTAAAATGTTTTGATATAACCATGACCCCCAAAAGACATAGAATATTTGTATCTCCCCAGGAAGTTCTCTTGTGCCTGTGACCAGTCAATCTCACCATCATCATCTATAGTAACCACTGATCTGAGGTTTATCACTACAGATTTGGTTTGTCTGAATTCAATTTTTATATATTCCTGAATTCAATTTACTAATATCTTATTTAGAAATTTTGCATCTATTTTAATGAGGGACATTAATCTATAGTTTTCCTTTCTTTGGTTTTTGGGTTTTGGGGGAGTTTTATTTGTCTATTTGGGCAATATTTTGATATCAGGGTTTTGCTGGCCTTATAAAATGAATTTTGAAGTATTTCCTTCTCTGTTTTCTGAAAGGATTTTGTAAAATTATTGTTTCTTCCTCAAATTTTTAATAGATTTAAAGTAGAAGCCTTGTGGGCCTGGAGTTTTCCTTGTAGAAGGACTTTTATTTAAGAACTTTATTTCTTTACTAGATATGTTGGTACTCAGATATTCTATTTCTTCCTGTGTCAGTTTATAGAAGCTGTGCTTTTTCAAGGAATTTGTACTTGTTTTAATGTCTTGGCCCAGAGTTGTTCATAATATTTCCTTAGTATCCTTTTGATGTCTATAGGATCTTTACTGATATCCTTTTCTTCATTCCTAATATTGGTCTTTTACATTTTCTCTCTTGTTTCTTATTGATCAGTTTTGCCAAATATTTGTCAACTTTATTTAGCTTAAAAATAATTTTGGTACCATTCACTTTGTATTTTCTAATTTTCTTTGAAACTTCTTCTTTGACTGATTAGTTATTTAGAAATGTC